AACGGCAACGTGACCCACCAGAAACAGTCTGGGTCTCCAAGACCCAACCAGAAGGAGTCGAACACCCCTGATAGCCATGCACATGACCGCCTTGTCTTCTTATTCGCCAGCTTCATTGTAAGCCCAGTCGCACCGCCATTCTGTCGATTAATTCTAACCTGCTACCTAGGGCCTACACACCACCATTACCACCAAGTCCGGAGAGAAGTTTACCGGTATCTTCTCTTCCTCGACCATGGAACCCAACGAGCTTTCGTTCCTGCTCAAGATGGTCCAGCGAACCTCGCAAGAAGGCCAGCCCCGGGCAAACGGCGTCAGTGACGTCGCAACCCCGTACATAGGCCCCGGGCCCGAGCACATCATGTCGTTCGATATTAAGGATGTCGTTGACATCTCCGTTCCAAACGTTACCACAGCCGAAGTTTCAGCCAAGGAACCAAACGGTACGGGTTGCTTTGTTTAGTCAGATCCGTTTGTGTATATACTAATTTAGACCACAGGTGCTTCCCAAGGTTTCAGAACCGATAGTGATATCTCTGGAAACCTAGCGATGCGCGAGCGCACCTTGCAGCGCTGGGAACCTGCCGAGACTGACATTGATATGTCTCTTGACACGAGCAACACTTCTGCGGGTTGGGACCAGTTTGAGGCAAACGAGCGCCTCTTCGGTGCCAAGACCAACTATGATGAGAACATCTACACTACTCGCCTCGACCGGTCGGATCCCAACTATAAACAGAAGCAGGCAGAGGCAGCTCGGATCGCCCGTGAGATTGAGGGACAAGATGTGGAAAACGCCCACATGCGCGAGGAGCGTGGCATTGTTGCACCGGATACTGGCGACCAAGACGAAGAAGACAAGTACAGCGGTGTTCGTCGCGAAGAAAAAGCCTTCCCTCCCCTGCTTTCCGGCCAACCAAACAAGTACATGCCCCCCGGACGCCGCCAGGCAGCTCCCCAGCCTGCTGCGACTCCCAGTACACCCGCCAAACAGCCCGTTGCTTCTCCGGTGCCCACTGCTCCTATCCCTATACCCTCCCAGGCTGCGGCAAAGGAAGCGGCGCCCTCGGACAAGCAAGCTGAACCGGTCGCATCGCTGCAACCCCCAGCAGATACCGAGCAAAAGAGTGCCTTGGGCAAGGGTGTCACACCAGTAGTACCTACTGCATCTGCTGTACCAGCTACAAAGCGGGCTGCGCCTGAAAATGCAACCGCAAACGTGGAGGTAGAGGTGCTGGATCATTTCCGTCAGTTCGCAAATAGCGAGAAAATCAAGATGCAGGAGCGCCGCCGCAACCAAGCTTCATATGACCGAGTCATGAAACTCAACGAGCTGATGAAGTTTTCCAAGAGCTTCAAACTCTCAACTCCCGTGCCCAAAGACCTGGTTCCTATCCTCGCCAAGGACAGGATCAAGCAGGAAGCAATCATGCAACGAGCGCTGCAACAGGGCGACGACAAGCCCACGCCGAAGGTTACCACACCTCCCACAGAACAGCAGCCTCCTACTCGTGCTGCAGGACCTACTGGTGCTGTGCCCCCATCTGCACCTGCTGATCGTCAAAACTACAACCGCACTCGTCAGGGCTATCCTCCCACCGGGCCCCTCGCTGGAGCTGGTGGAAGGTTCCCTCAGCAAGGCGTTCAGCCGGGACGTCCTGGTGTTGGCATGCTCAGTCATCGACTAGCGGACAATCTGCAGCAGAGAAAGGGCGCGGGAATGGGACCTGTTCCCACTCCTTTGCCCATTCAAGATGCCCGTGGACCCCCGACTGGTCCTGCCAGCGACCAGCAGAGAATCACCAGTCCTGTCAAGTCGCAGGCTGGGTCTTCTGCGGCAACCAAGCTCAATGTCAAAGCCATGGAGTTCAAGCCAAACCCTGCAGCAAGCACTTTCACGCCTGGTACCTCGGCAGCTGCTGCAAGCCCTCGGCCTTTCTCTCGTAACCGCTCTGTATCACGCGCCACAACGCCGACTGCATTCTTCGGTCCCCGGAAGCCACTGCCTATCTCTGAACGACCCTCGATCAGTGACCAATTCAATCCCATTAAGCGCATGAAGAAGGAGAACGCCGATAGCACTGATAGGTTGGTTATCTTGAATGGTGGTATTCCACCACCCTACAAGACTGTGCCAACTTGGGACATCGCCGATGGCACCGAAGAGAAGACGTATGATCAGATGTTCAAACAGCCTGTCGGCATGCCGACAGTATCGCCCCAGGGCCGATCCGCTTCCAACAACACCAATATTCCCCCGCAACACCAGGTGCCCTTCCACTTCCAGCAAGGTACCCCAGCCATGCCGCCAGCTTCTGGTCCTGCTAATGGACCGCACGGTCTTCACTCTCAGGGCCCTCATGGCCCCTCGCATGTGGATGATCATCACCGCATGCAGCTGTCCGCGTCGAACTCCCAGGTTTTTCCGTCCCCGCGGATGCAGCATGGATATCCGTCACCTATGGCTCCCCATGCCCAGCTTTCCTTTACACAACCGATGCCTCAGTTTTACGGTGGCCCTCAACCCGGCCACATGAGACCTTTCCAGGGTGGTGGTCCTCAGTTTGTGAATGGCGCTCCTATGATGGTGCAGCAGGCCTCGAATGGACCCTACATGGGAGTCCCGCAAGGCATGACTCCGTATAACGCACAGATGCCCATGTACTCCCCCAACCCAGGCCACGCCTATCCCCAGCATACACCTCAGCCGCATAGTGGGTACCCAAGCCCGAGCCGTGGTGCACCGATGATGATGCACCAGAACTCGCAATCCGGGCAGCCTCCTCAATCAGTCATGTTTATGCCCGGCCAACCCGGATATCCCCAGCAGTCCGGACATAGTGAGTGTGGCTACAGTCCCCCCTCAAGCGTCTCCAGTTTTTAACCAACCCAGTGCCCCCCAACCGTGGCAACTACCCACAGCAGCCCCACTTTTCGTCAAGCCCCCATCAAACGCATCATTTCCCACCTAACCAGCATCGGACCCCCAGCAACGGCTTCAACCAAATGCCACAAATGCCACCCCAGATGTCTGCCAATACCCCAGCACCTACCCCTGGAGCCTCCCACCCGGCTGAGGCAACGGATGAAGGAAAATGAACTACACGAATCATGAAGCCTTGAGCGGTCCCCTCGCATGATGCTACATCTTATCGCTTAGCTATGACTTCTCCGCGCTCTGCATTATTGGCAACCGCCAACTCAAATACCCCGGTGACTCTTCCATGACCGCGTCTTCATCTGTTTCCCCGCCATCGACGCGGTCTTCCAAACATTTGAATTTTGCGGTGGATTTCATGTCGTCTCAAGACTTACTCGGTGAGTGAACATTTTCGTGACGTCGAACAACACCCGCTAACCTTGTGATCAGACATGACAGATCAATCTACCACTTGTGCCTATTTATTTCCCAGATCTCGATCTGGAAGTGTACATGGAAACTGATCTTCTAGGCGATGAGCCCATTGAATTCGAGCACTTGATATCCAACCTAGCTCATCGTTGTATACCTACCTAGTGCACAACATCTCCACGTACGTCATCATCGAGTTGAAGTCTTGAGGATTTCTCTTTACCTGAGATGGTCTCTTCCTTCTAGTTTTCTCTTATCTTGTTTCTTTTTTCGTTTATCTCTTCTCTTGCTTCTCGGTTGTTGGTCGAAGGTCTGTGTCTCACCTTGGTGGGATGACGGGCCTTTGAACCTGCCATGGATGGAAGTGAGGTCTGCGATGGGTCGCGTCTCGGCATGTAGACGATGGTTCTCGGATGGTGATGTGAATGAAGGTGATCGGTCTCGGGAGGAAGCGGAGCAGTGGGGTGTGGTTGAAGATGCGTGAACTTGACAGTACAGATAGCTCCATGGACCCCTGGCCACATGGCAATGAAATGGTTATATCAGAAAAATTCTGTTACTCTGCGTAAATATACTGCAAGAATTGTTCGCCGCTTATGCGGCCTTGTAAGTATTTTTGGTAGTCTTTCTGGAAGTCTTGGATATTTTTGTAGAAGTAATTTCTGGCTTGGATATTTCTTCTCTTTATTAGTGCTAGAGCTAGAAGGATAAGAAGAATCAGCCGCAAGATATAGAATATAGGCGGCGAAAACACTGAAATGACTTTTGTAGAAACATCCCAAAGTCACCACTCGTACCACCCTAACGTCTAGATCCCATAATGGATCTGATCCAAGTATCGTCAATGCTAGATAACTGTGGCAGACGTTAGCAGCTGCAACCCATCGAACAAACAACGAGCCAAGTGTAAGGTAATCTCCTCAGGTATAATTTCAACAGTGTCACCATCAAAGCCACAGACACCAGACATCAACCCACCGCGGTGCTTTGTCCCATTGCAAACACCTCTGTCCACACCCCAGCCATAAACAAGCCCCAAAACAAACCCCCAAAACACCACCAAGCATCACAAAAACCAACCACCTCCAGCCTACACCCCAACCAACACACCTCTCCGCCTCCCAACTTCCAACCCCCCACAAAAACGCGCCCGCACCACTCTTCACAGCAGATAAAAGAGAGAAAAGGAAGAAGAGAGGAAGAGCAGTCAAGTATATCACCCTAAGCAGCCAAAGAGGGGACTGGAGAGACGTCCATATTCCGCCGACCCGACAAAACGCCGGCAGCAGGAATACATCCAACTCAAAGCCACCCCAAAGACCACCAATAAGAATGCCACCTGTTCACTCAAACCCCCTCTCCACCTAGTCCCGAGCCCTCGTACCCTATACGCCACAGCCATTGGTCGCCCTCCCGTCCTCATGGAAGCGAAGCGGACACGGCAACCCCAGATAGCGGCGCCACCTCCCCGTTTCCCGTACTTTCTCACAATAGACCTAGCACCGTACACGATACCACCCAAACGCCCCAAGATACAAGATCCCGAAGCGGACCTCAAGCGATCCAACACCGCAATATCGATGATATTACGGTTGTCGAAAAGCGAGATCTCAGCGGTAGCACGCAGACACCAAGCACAGTTGCGGTACTAGTTCGGGACGGATAGAGGCGTAAATGTACACAATATCTCCCACGATCCAGGACCAACGCCGCTTTGTCTCAGCGTGGCCGCGAGCCATGGGGGTGATGGCTGGGATCTGGATGTCGCTGCAGCCTGCCAGCGAGCCGATGGGAGACGAATGTGTTCTGCTGGAAGAGTGGGGACAAATGCTGTCATGTGGAGTTGGTTGTTGGGAGTGTGATCGAGGAGGCGTCTGGTCGTGGTCTGGGCACAGCACTGTGATGGTGTGGCACTATCATGGCTGGTCCAATAGATGGGGAGTCTATTGGAAAGAGATGGTTGGCTCGAATGCGCCGGGTAGTAGCTCTTGAAGTTCGCTCCGGGGTCGGCTTGTGTGTTTTGCGTGGGTTTTGGTGTTTGCGGGAGTACCATCGGTTTTGCTGGGTGAGTCTTCTTTGGTGGTGTTGTGGTTTTGTCTGACCTTTTACCAGAGTTCGCATCATTGGAGAGCGCGACGCAAGTCGCTGGATGAATTGTGGACTGTGCGTACACGCGTGGTAGGAGATAGGGGACTTGGACTTACTGTTTAATTAATAGGCTGTAGATTGTGGACTGGTGTGTAAGTGAGTTTTGGCTAGAAGAAGATAATTGTGGTAGCATATATATCGCAAGTTTCAGTGGTATTTGACGACGAATTTAGACGCATGGGACGTTGACATGGAGGTGAAGAAAAGGAAGATCAAGCTCCGCTTTATTTATATGAGCACTTGGTGGCCTCAGGCCGCAGTGTTTATCACGATAAGGCGGGGGTGAAAGGAGTTCGGCGTCTAATGTGTTTGGCTATTCCGACTCACAAGAACATTGTATTTGGTCTCTGGTCAATTTCAGTCATTATCTCGAACTACGGATCTAATCTTGACAACCGACCGTATATTCACCCGCTGGCCATTGGCCTCCCCGACTCGCGCACCCCGAATATCCCAAACAATCCCCGACCTGCCACATCGGCCATACCGCGGTCATGGATTTCCTGAAATCTGCCATCGGATCCGCCATCGCGAAAGGCGGAGGACTCCCATTCTCCCTCGGCGACAGAGTCGACATCGGTGATTCGGTTTGGGCATTGCATAACGGTACGAAACGGGTACGGTGGCTTTTTGGTTCCTTCTTCCATGCGGGACGAGCTTCAATGGCTGACGATATCGTGGCACATATAGGATGATGGTTCCGCTTGCAGTGTATTTGCATTTGACGTCAATGCGAACAAGTCGCGCCTCCCTCTTGCGAAAAATGCGGTGCGCAAGTTTAGGACGTTGCGGCATCCTGGTGTTATCAAGGTTTTGGATACGATTGAGGTATACTTGGCTCCTGGACCTTTGGGTTGAATTGCGATTATGGTGCAGAAACTTACCACATGACAGACGGAACACAATCTCTATATTGTCACAGAACGAGTCGTGCCACTCAGCTGGCCGGTGAAGCGGAAGAGCTTGAGCGAGGAGACAACCAAGTGGGGGTTGTATACTGTGGCGGTACGATATTCTTGGGAGTCTACTATCATGGCATTGCTGACGGGATTGCTTCGGACAGTCTACTCTCAAATTCATCAACGACGATGCTTCCTCAGTTCACGGCGCCGTGCGCGCATCCTCGGTGTTCATAAGTGAGAGCGGCGAATGGAAGCTAGGAGGATTTGAGATTCTGAGCTCTATGAAGGAAGACGATGCCATTATATATGTGAGTTATCCCGGCTCGGGTTTGTCCAGGTACTGTCCGAATGATGCCATATACTGACCCCGTGTATAGACGTACGGAAGCAGTGTGCCCGATGCCGCTCGCTACACGCCCCCGGAGGTTGTAAAAACAGGCTGGGATACCATCAAGCGCAATCCTCTGGCAGCTGTTGATGCTTACGGACTTGGTATCTTGATCTTCGAGGTTTTCAATGGTGGTTTCTCAGGCGGCGATCAAGCTGGCAAGACGACGAACATTCCTTCCAGCATGCAACAAAGCTATAAACGCCTTTGCACCGCCAACCCGAAGCTACGACTGAGCCCCGGACATTTCGTGGAGCAGGGAAAGAAACAAGGTGGATTCTTCCAGACACCACTCATCCGAATGACCGAAGACATCGACAGCTTGGGGCTCAAGAGTGATGAGGAGCGTGAAGAATTTATTAAGTGCGTATATTATCCACACCTTGCAAAATGAGCTCTAAGCTAACATGTCACAACCCGCAGTGAGCTTGATAATCTTTCTGATGACTTCCCAGAGGAGTTCTTCAAGATGAAGGTGCTCCCCGAGCTACTGAAGTCCGTCGAGTTTGGCGGCGGTGGGCCGAAAGTTCTCAGTGCTACCATGAAGATTGGAGCAAAATTGTCGGCAGATGAATTCAACGCGAAGCTGACTCCTGTTATTATCCGCTTGTTTGGCAACCCTGATCGAGCATTGCGGGTCTGCCTCTTGGATAACCTTCCGTTAATGATCGAGAACCTCCCTCAAAGGGTTGTCAACGACAAAATCTTCCCTCAAATGACCTCTGGTTTCACCGATGTTGCCCCGGTGGTGCGAGAACAGACAGTGAAGTCTGTTCTGACTATCATCAACAAACTGAGTGATAGGATTGTCAATGGAGAACTCCTGAAGTTCCTCGCCCGCACTGCTAATGATGAGCAACCTGGAATCCGGACTAACACCACTATTTGTCTTGGCCGAATTGCTAAGAACCTCAGTCAAGGTGTAGGTGATTTATCCTCAATGCTGGACCAAGCCGCTGACATTCCGTGCAGACTCGCTCTAAGGTGCTTATTGCGGCATTCACGAGAGCTCTCAGAGACCCCTTCGTCCACGCTCGAAATGCAGGACTTTTGGCTCTGGCCGCGACTATCGATGTCTTTACCGAGGAAGATTGTGCTGTTAGGATTCTACCTGCCATTTGCCCTGGACTTTTGGACAAGGAAAAGTGAGTAATGCGCCTAGTCCCTATCTCCGGCCTGATCCTTACCGTTGAATAGATTGATTCGCGACCAAGCAAACAAAACATTTGATGCGTATGTCCACCGGATACGGAAACATGCCAGCACAATGCCAGACACTGTCATACCTGTCGTCGCACCCACAGAAGTCAACAAACCCGATGCTCGTGTTGGAACCCCCAATGACAACTCCTGGGCGGGCTGGGCCATTTCATCATTCACAAACAAAATCGCAACTGCCAACGGCGAGATTGAACCCACCGCCAATGCTACCAAGACTGTCGAGCCGGATACTGCCCGCTCAGCGTCGGTTCCTCGTCCCACCAAACCATCACCCTCAACCCCACTTGATCTACCAAAACAGGTCCTCCGTCCCATAGCTCAGCCCTCACTGAACCGGTCAATGTCAGATCGCCCAGCCCCGGTGGTCCACGACGAGCCTGAAGAAGAAGAAGGTGACGACGTCTTCGATGCCTGGGGTGCCATGGACGACGACGAAAAAGACGACGATCCATTCACTGCCGCTGTAACCTCTCCCAAACCCACATCTCCTGCTCCCTCATCGAGCAAAACCCCCGCGGTGCCCTACGATGATGGCGGCGAACCCGATTTCGCCGGCTGGCTGGCCGCAAAGTCTCAGACCAAGGCCAAGAACCCCCTACCAAAGGGTCTGACCAAGGCCGCTTCTACCAATACTGTTACCACTCGGTCGACGCCAAGCATTGCTAAACCTCGAACTGTGGTTGCACCTAAGAAGATCGATACTAAACCCAAAGACGAGGAGACTGATGATTGGGGAGATGCATGGGATTAATTTGGACGCCTTTGCTTTTCAGTTTTTTGGTTCATGTCCATATTATGTTCAATGCAAGTCTAGCGTGTCAATATCTGAACATATTGGCATCGAGGGGAGTTTTGGAGTCTGTACCATACTGCCCTGGTGTATTGATATCCCCTGTACTCGTTCCTAATAGATCCATCAATTCTAACCGATCATTATTTTCCCTTACCTACCTCGAGATGGTAATTGCTATTGTACATGATATTATTTCCCAACATTTGATGCTCCCATTTGTTAGCGCCTCGGACCTTTCCCTATTCTTTTCCCTTGGCCTTCACTTTTTTATTCTAAATCTCGACCCCAAGATCCTCCATTAACCTCTTCTGATCGTCCGATAACGACTTTTGCAGCATTTCCCTCGTCTTTTCTCTCTTCTGCTCCCTCCGTCGCTCCAACGCCTCCCTCATTTGAATCTCCTTTTGCTTCCGCCTCTCCTGCTCCTCTTCCTTTCGCTTCTGTGCCTCCCTCTCCTCCTGTATCCTTTGCTCTTCAATTCTTTTTCTTTCTCTCTCCTTTTTCTTTTTATCCCTCTCCTGCTTTTGCATTTCCTTTCTTTGCTCGTCCTCTTCTTTCTCCCTCATTATCTTTTCCCTGTACTCCATCTCAACCCTCTCTTTTATCAATCGGCCTCTCGTATATTCTTTCATCCACGAACCACCCCAGAACGTAGGATTCTCTTCCTTGTCTATCACAACTGCCTCATCAATTTGTTTGTCAAGACGGCGGAGCCGTCTTATTGGTAACTCATCTCGGATGGAAGTAGGCGTGCGCGGTTGTTCGCTGTCAAAATCAGATGATCTTCCAAGCTCGGGCAATGGATCGGGCAATGGATCGGGCTCTGCCGACTGCTCGTGCTCTGGTAATTGCTCACGCTCTGACGACTGCAAGCGCTTTGGTTCATGCTCTGGTTCCAAAGTTTGCTCGGGGACCCATAATTTCTCAGCATCCAACAATTGCTCGGACGCTGAAGATTGCAAGAGCTCTGGCTCGTGTCCGGATTCTGAAAATTGCCCGGGATCTGACGACCCTGGCTCTGATGACTCCCCCCGTTCTGGTGACTCCTCTTGCCCTGTTAAGTTTGTAGATAGCCCCAGTCTCGGTCGCTTCGTCGTTGGAAGCTCAATATCGGAATCATCATCTGTAGACTCAATATGGGAATCTTCATCTGCAGACTCAAACTCGCGATCATCATCTGTGGCATCCGGGAACCTCCATTCGGGATTATTGTGAGCTTCAGGCGGAAATTCGGCGAAAAGATGTGGATGTTTATTGCCGTCTATCATAAGAGGGGTTCCGCCGCCTCTGATGTAGCTTTTAGGCCGGAGACGCGAGGTCCAGGCGGTTGGTTTTAATGACGATTTCTGGTTTTTCTGGTTTTTCCATTGGAGTCTTGGTATCCAGCATTGAGGTGGGGGAGACGGAGTAATATCTCGAACCACAACTCGTGGGATAGATAGAGGTGCAGGTGGAGACGACGCTGGTGTCATTGATGGAGTTGGAGACGGATCTCGAGATTCGGATTCGGATTCCTGTGGTAGGAATTCAGATGGAGCTATTGATTTGGATGGAGACTCGGGTCCTATCATTGAATCCAATTGTGACGAGGAAGGTGATGGCGGTTGTTTCGAATCGCAAGCGCCGCGCCGGTGCAGACTTCTGAAGTTTTGTCTTGCTGGCTCTGCACATGTGGGCCTGTGCAACGGTGACAAGGTAGACCACGTAGGTTCCGTTGGCAATATAGGTTCAGTGTCAATCTCGCGCAAAGTGACCAGTGATGGGCGTGCTGGAAGGGGTACTGCCTTGCGCCGGGAGGAACTGTGGGTATTTGACCTTTTCCGTTTTAAGGCTCTCCTCATCTTCCATTTGAATCGTGAAGGGCATGGCGAGAACGATGGTGAAGACGGTTCTGGCCCTGAGTCTGGTCCTGCTTCTGACGGAGGTTCAGAATCAGTGTCAATATCTGATGTCAACAATCGACGGGTCTTTTGCTCATAGTCAGGGCGAGAAGCTGGTGTAGCTTCTTTGCGGCCTAGGGTTCTTTCCGACGATGCTGGTGATGGCAAGATCGATCCCGGTCCCGATTGTGATATAGTGAAAGATTGTGACTGTGATATTGAATTCGATAGCGATGCCCCACGAGATTTGTGCTGGCTGTCATGGCCAGAAACTGGCGTGGGCTCTTCGAGATTCACGACACTTTGCCGTGATGAGACTGGGTCATGTGTCCTTCTGGATTCAGATTCTTCATCCAATGATGATGTGTCATCAGTTATTTCCCCGTCGTCACGGTCAGAGTCTGGCGTGACATTTTTGAGGCCCACGACATTTTGCGGTAATGAGGGATATGATCGTGATGGTGACGCTGGTTTACGTCCCGTCTCCAAACCTAAGCCCTGATTAGGTGATTCGCGGGTCTTGTTCCTGTGATGTTCAGAGCCTGGTCTGACCCTTTGGGGGGCCACTGTTGTCGGTGGTGATGGTGGAAGTGACTGGAAACTGGATTGTGATTGCAATGGAGCCTGACCCTGAGCTGGATCTTTATTTTTAGACTCAAACCCGAACCCAGACACATGCTCATAAGATTTCTTCACTCTCGGTGTGTGTGCACGCTGTAGCGGCGGTTTTGATTTTGCTTGCTCCTGAACCTTGACCTGGGGGGTTTTAAAGGATGGCTTGGTTCGTTGATCATTTGTGAGAGGACGGTTGGATGGCCCCGCCTGTGGTGATTCTGAATTCAATCCAAGTTTCTTTAACACCTCCAAAGGCTGTGGTTTATTGGTCTTGTTGCTATTGCTGTTATTTCTATTATTTTTGCCGTTGCCTCTTTGGTTGTTGTTGTTGCTGCTGTTTCTGCCGTTGTTGTTTTTGGTTTTGCTGTAGTTGCTATAGTTGTAGTTGTTGCTGTTGCTGCCGTGGTTGTTGCTGTGGTTGTTGCTACTGTGATTCTTGTTCTTGTTGTTATTGTGCTGGCCTGACTTTGTGACTCGAGACGATGGTGAAGAAGAGGCTGGTGGTGGTGACTGAGTTTGATTGAAAGGATTTGTATTCTGGTTGCGAAGTTTTGATTTCGCCATGGCTTTTGGCAAACAGGCTCAGGGGTAGAGATGTATTTCTGGTGGGGATGTTGGTTTTATATAGTTCTACTTATTCAGTCCTGAAACGGTTAGCGTGACGCTGGACCTGTTATATATTCTCCGGCTCACCCGGCAATCAGACATAAGAAAGTTAGATGTTAGGTCTTTTTCTAGACAAAAGATATGCAAAGAAAATTCGTCTGCGCATCTCATGCTTTCATTCTATTTGTGCTGTCTAAAACTGAGAAGGGGGAGAGAATCTCCGAAAGAAATGCATCTTAAAAACTATCAAGAACACTACTAAAAAGACACAAGGTCGCGCATGTGGCCCACTATTCTTGTAAATTAGTGTAGTATGAAAAGAATAACATACTTCCAGATACGGTAGTTCAATAGAATCCCCAGTGGAGTAGTGGGTGCATAATACTGGAGTAGTCCCGAGGTTCATACTGACGCATCTGACAGCAATTTTATGTTCAATATAAATTTTGATCTAGGGGAATAAAAATGCACTCGGCTCCTTGCTATTTTTTCCTTTAGCCTTGAGCTACTGCATGACATTGACGGCCCGGGCTTGAAGAATAATCGGGTTTCTCACTGCCTCGGCGAGGAAGGCCAAAGTGGGGATGCCTCGATGGGGCTCCGGACATGAGCCCAAAAATATGGCTTAAAAAAGATCAAAAGATAAAATTGATCTCCTAAAATGAGCGTTGCAATATGACCAGCACTAGAATAAACCTACCCAAGTCTCAAAACAGCCATGAAAGTCCCGAGATCCAGATATAAAATCCCATTTTCCAGGCAATTTTACCCAAACCTCAAGATCTCCACTAGAAAAAGCCCCTTAATCAAGCCCCCCATTCACCAATTCCTCAATATCTCCCCAGCAACCCGTTCCCCCGAACTAATAGCCCCATCCATATACCCAATCCACCTTAGCGAAGTCTCCGTCCCAGCGAAATGGATCCTTCCAACCGGAGCCCGCAAATAAGCCCCATACTGCGTCAAAACACCCGGCGGCATGAAAGCACTAGGACCACCACGCGAGAACTCCTCAAGATCCCACCTCTGAATTAGAACATCTGTAGCAGTATCCACACGATCACCAAAAAGATTAGCAAAACTCTTCTTGGCCTGGTTTTTGACCTCGTATTCACTCGCAGAATCAAGCTTGCGCATCTCGTCAGCCTCGATGAACTCCATCATCGCACCGAATGATCCATCAGCCGGTGAGTTGTCGTATGTCACTCGGATCGAACCGGTGTCACTCACACCTGCGCCGTTGAGACCCTTGGCTCGCCACCAGGCGTCTGGGAAGATTGCCATGGCTTTGCCGAGGGCGCCCATTGGCATGCGCTGGTTTAATTGGTCTCGGCCGGCGGGGAGGAGGGGGTCGAATGTTATGCGGTTTATTAGAGGTGGGGACATGGCGAGGACGACGTGTCGGGCTGAGATGGTGAGGTTGTCTGATGAGACTAGATAGTTGGATTCGGATTGGAGTTGGACTTTGCGGACGGGGGTGTTGAGGTGGATGTTTCCAGAGCCGAGTCTCGCGGCGAGTAATGTTGCGAGCAGTTGTGTACCACCGCTTACTCGACTATCCTGTGCGCCGCCGTCGATTCCAATGAGTCGGTTGATGGTTCCAGGTCCTGTTTCGTTTCCGGCGGCGGCTATACACCATAGTGAGTATAATAGAGACGGCTCTTTTAATTCGGTTGATAGGATTGCTGGGATGGCGACGTCGAGGAGAGCGCGAGAGTCGGATGTAGATAGTCGTGAGTTGACGTATGTTTCTAGCGTCATTGAGTCCAGAGCTGTTGCATTCGGGGTATTCCACGGTGCTTCGAGGTCAACTTTGCTTGCAAGAGTATTGATGTCGCTCATGAAGGATGCAAGTTCAACGAGGGAGCCTATTCCCACGGGAGGAATACCGCCCAGATTGTCTTGGTAATGACGCGCCGTGCCATTTCGATAAAATGTTGAGTTTCCCACGGTGTATGTCTTGTAGGTTGGTAGACCGAGTTCGGCTGCGAGGGCCAGGACGCGGTTTTGGGTTGGTGCAACATATGCGGCGCCTAGTTCTTGGGCGCCCTTTCCTGTAAGATTGGCGTTGAGTACCCGGCCACCGACTCGGTCTCGTGCTTCTAGTATGACGAAGGATTTGTTGACCGCTGCGAGGCTTTTAGCGGTGGAGAGTCCGGATAGACCACCGCCAATAATGGCGACGTCGACTTCGCGAGAGGGTTCTGCAATTAGTGCATGGCAAAAGGAGATTGCTAGTAAGAATAGGTGCATTGCACCGAAGAATAATCTGCAGGGCATTAGCGGCATACCTATCCTCGTATTTGATCGATGAATGGTTTGACGGATATGAGACAATTTGTGATTAACCTCTTTACCTGTAATGATTTAAAAGGATGGACTCAATTTATCGCCTCACTTTAGGGCCGACTACTACCCAATATCAGAAAGTACAGAATACTACAATTAACCTAGCTCACTGGGCCTAGAAGCAAAATCTTGTCATTAGAGTAGTACAAGCGATAGAAGAGGGGGTGGGAAAATCGCCCGTAGATGTAGCTAATCAAGCAAAGTAAACGCCAGCAGACTTACAAGATATCTATGCATTAAATTATTATTGCTCGCATGGACCCTGGTGTCCTAGTTTCAACTTCCGAATCACCCAATCTGATAGTGACGCATAAGAGGAGAATTATGTCTCACTCTATGTCTCCATCTCCGACTCTTCTTCCGAGAATTCGTCATCTGATGAACCCGAGTTGAACTCATCGCTTGTTATTTCAATTGATTCTTCCGGCATGTCTTCCCGTCTCTTTTGGGGCTCCATTACTGTGGCCGGTTGTTCCCGTAAAAGCTCTGGTTCGGACTCTGACTCTTCTTCTGAGAATTCATCTAATGACGAATTGGACGATTCATCGTCTGATACCTGAATTGGTTCTTTCGAATAGACTTTTTGTTCTTTTGGCGACTCTTCTCTTCTTGCACGTTGCCTTTTCGGTGCTTCTGCTTCGTCACCTGACTCTTCCTCTGAGGGTGAGGCTTCCGATGCAGATGAAGCCGAGGATGATTCGGACTCATCACTCTCTTCTTCTAGTAGGATATGGTTCGCTACTTTGGTCGTCTCTTTGCGTTCATATTGCGAAACTGCGTTTGGTGCCAGTCGGTTCTCTAGTTGCGCTTCAGGTTCGTCCTCTGTCTCTTCTTCCGAGGACTCGCCTCCCGACGAAGGCGAGGATGCTTCACTGCTCTCCTGTGGCTGAATCGCTGCATTCGCATACATGTTGCGGCGCTCTTGGTGCACTTCTTTTCCTGAAATTTGCATTGTTTCTCTTTCGGAGGAAGAGGAGTAGCCATCATTATCCTCTTCTGATGATGTAATTTCCGAGGATTGTTCCTGCGTCAAAGTAGAGGATCTTTCATTCTCTTCCTCTAGATTTATCACCTCTCTGTGTGTCGTTTTATGCACCTGATATGAAACCTTGATAGGCGAACTTTCTTGCCTGTTCAGTTGCAGTTGCACTTCTTCCTCCTCTTCGTCTTCCGACGAAGACACCGACGATGAGAAAGATCCCGACAATGGTGAGGACTCCCTATCTTCCACCGCTCCGTGGTCATCCTCTTCCCGTTGCATAGTCCTTTTCAGCTGTCCATTGCGATCTGGCATTGGTTCTTCTCGCACTTCGTGTGTCCGCTGCCGTTTGGACACAGGTTGCTGCTCATCATCCCAATAGACTCGCTTTGAACCGGCCTGCTGCTGTGGTACATCCGCAATTGGGGATGAAATAGCCATTTTGACCCGCTCAAATTCCCCATACCATGAATCCATGAAGCGCCGTCTTTCTCTCCGATCATCGCAAGCTGCAAGCCAATCATCCGCATCTCTTTTGCGTTCCAATATCTTCACCATCTCGTCGGCTGGAATCTGTTCTTTCTTAGTGCTGAGTATCTTGTATGACATACGGTAGAACTTACCATTTCACACCCAATCTTCATGCGTGTACAATATTCGCATGCCTCCTGCCCTGGGATAGATTGACAAGGTGGGTTCGGGCTTTCATCGATCCAGCGCGCGAAGCACTCGTAGCAGCATTTGACAGATTGCTGGGATATTGCATCCATCTCATTAGAAAGCTGCAAGTTTGCTGTCTCTGGCGGCCCAATTGCTGATTGTAAGGCTTCCAAGAACGCGTCCTCGGAAGTCACGGATGGCGACTGACTATGAGAGTGGATGACCAATTGATCTCCGTCCTGAGAAACTGGAGTTCTTTCTCGAAGTTGATCAACTTGAACTTCCTGCATGCCCTCGACAGGCCGTGGATTGGATGTCTCCACTACATCCGGCTCGGTTTGTGGTCCCCATATCTGTTTGATGCTCTCTGCAAAATCGAATGTTCCAGCAGCAAATGTTTGAACAGCTTCTGCCACTGCCAGCACAGTCCGCTGGAATCTCTGATCGTTGGCCATATTGGAACGTTGATAGAGAGGACCCCCTATGCTGGTCAATGTGATGTAGGTGTTTTGATATTGGTTCGGCTTCCGGCTGAGCTTATTCTCCGGGACCCACTTTTGTCAACATCAGATGAACTTGCATCAAAGGGAGGAAGTACTACTAAAGTAGAAAGTGCGATTGATTGTTTGCGAGCTGACAGAGAGTTGGAGAAAACAACGGGAGAGGAGAGGAAGAAGAAGCATTCTTTCCACAACAAACAAGCAATATTTCCCCTGGAAAGCCAGGCACCACACCGTAATATGATCACGGCGCCAATACCTCTTGTACACATTTCAGAACTTCGAATGTTTGATATAAAATATCTAGCCAGGTTTTAGAGAAAGTCCATTTTTATCCCTAACTATAAACTTAAATGATCCCATATGTAGAAGAGTAATCCCAAAGTGAGTACCCCCCAGGTGGCCGTGGCCTTGCGGCAACCGCCCCACCGCTTTCCGCACCTGTGAGGGGGGAAAAGGGCAGCCCTAAGTGGCCCCCCGCGAAGAAGTAAGCAATGGTCGTCGGTCGACCCTGCGCATCACCAAAGTGTGTTCCCCCCCCCCCCCCCCCCCCCCCCAAAAGAGGGATGCTAAGGCAGCCACACACTGCTTCTCTCTCCAACACTTCTATTTTCTTTCTGTCCAGATCCACTTCTCCTATAAAACGGGCCATCATCTCTAAGGCTCTTCTCTCAGAATTCATAGATCATTTTCGCGGCCTAACGCTGGATTTCTGAGAGGAGTAGCGTTTTGTTTATACTTAGTTGTGTTCATATAGTACATTAAGTTCATAAATAGATATCAGTATTCCCCACAATAGCCTAGACCCGTTAAAGACTGGATTATGCATATCAACCATATGCCTCTAGTATTTTGTAGAGTTTCAATTACTGGTGATATAACTATAATACCTTATAGGAAGTGTTTGGGCTAGCATGTTTGAGTATATTATTCAGCCTCTTTGATCCACTTTATTCGACCTTGCTTTCTTTATCAATCATCCTGATATCTATCACCTCTCATCTCTCTCACACTTTTGTCTTTCACCTTACATACCTGTGTCACAGCGCAAATTCCACCCCACCAGACTATATGCTTTTCATTATCCAAACTACCAGCTCTTCCCACCTTCTTCATTTTCTACCTTCACAGAACATCATCTACTATTAATCCAACTTCAACTTCACCGTGGGTTCCATCTTGACCTTCGAGATCCTGTGATCATATGGATATGGACGACCAGGCAACCGATCCCGTCCCTCTGCCGTATTTGAGTCTCTTCAGAGATCGTCACAATTACCAGGCCTTCGGGACTACCAGCCGGTTTGACTCAACCCTTGGCCTTGCTAGAGCATGCACTTACGGCGACCTTTCCCACAATGCTTCAGTACATCTGAATGGAGTTCTCGCCAGCGGCTCTGTGACATTTTGCTGGGTTCCTCATTTCTTTGGGGCTTTTGAGCATAGCCAGTCACTGGAGACTTTCATTGGCCTGGGCAGTAAGGTCCTTCTACTTGATCCCAATATCGTGAGATGTCAAGCGATGCCAACTATGTGCAGGGAGCGTATACCTCCATTTCTAGCCTGTGTCCACCCAGAGAGAAGAACACATTCGCCTCGAAGCTCAATCGCCTACGGATTGAGTATTGATGGAGAAGAGCTCCTTTCTCTTCGCTTCACCATACATTATGAGATTCTGATGAAAGACTACCCAGCTAACTTGTCGAAAGTGGCGAAGGTTTTTCTGATGAAAGTGCCTGGCGGCTGCTACAATATCATCACGAGCATACTAGTCTTCATCATGCGAGACGCTGTTGCCCAGTCCCAGTACACATTGAAGAATTACTTCAAGAGGATGTCTCCATGGAGGATGAGTCTTTGTTTCTCCCATCACATGAATGTCCGCCATCTCAATATTCATGCGTATTCGGTCGGCGAGAAACTGGGGAGACTCATCGACATGGCAGTGTGGAGAGTAAACTACTTCTAAGCTACATACATGCACCTTCACCATCGTATCTTCCAGACCTCCTAACTCGGATGACTGGAGCTGAGCAATCTCTTTACGTTTTTCTATCAGCGTCACTCAGGTCTTTCAACAAACTTGACCAGAAACAGAAACAGAAACAGATCCTGTCAAACATTGCGGGGCTCATTCCTGGAGGACGATAGTATCCTCGGGATGAAAGGGCGACGAAGAAGATTGACTGGCAGGATGACCTTCCCTGCCTTGCCTAAAATAGTGATTTCATAAATGGTGAGATCTTGCGGACTATGTGGCTTTATTTGACACTCTATCAATTTACAGTTCTGTCAATATGCATCAAAGCGAACCGTCATGTCTTCATCGCGGGTTTCCTTTGTTCATTTTCAACTGTACTCGGTCATTAGTCTATAGATTTTACCAAGCTTTTGTCAATATTCAATATCAATAAACCAGTCTCTCTGCTATACAAAGCTAATCTATTGAAGCTACTGTTACACAGCGCAACTAATGTGAACAATGACTGCCTGAACTCCCCGGGTAGCAGCAGACACAACCTTGCTCTAAGATGTGTTGAGAACGTTACTGTTAAATGATGCTAATGTATATGCACACTCTTGTCCAGGTAATTCTTTTGATTCCTCATGATCCCAAAATATTCATCTCCAAACCCTGAACCGTATCCCCCACTTCCCCGCGGTTGTATGTCGTACAGGAGGAGACAATTTTGGCCAACTGCTCGCACCACCGGAGATCACGAGCATGATGATCGCCACTTTCTCACCAACGCCCGCACCGAGCTCGATGCGAGCTCGGTGACCGTGCTAGACATTTTTCCAGCACCACTCTCCCACCACGCACATCGACCACTCCATCCTAGGCTTATGTTATGCCTGGATGCTTAGAGTTAGCCAGAAGAACATCAAAAACCCCATATCCAGCTCTGTTTGACATGATTTTTTCAGCAAATGGGAGATGCTTGCACAAGATATGTTCGATGAATCTTGGTGAGCCCTAAGCGCATCCCATGGGTATTAAGATAATGACTTACCTAAGCTTGGTATTCCAGCACCGAGCCACCGGCTGTGGCTCATTGGACCACGACCGATGGCTGGTGGGGGGGAGGTGGAGAAGGAAGAAGCTACTCGGGGTGCTCGACCATCTCTATATAGGGCTTCCCTTACCGCCCCCTATGACCGCCTTCTCAATATGGTATCACCACTCGATTCTGCCCGCTTTTCTGCCACTGTATAGAGCCTGACTACATAGTGATGCCCGCCCATTCTATAAATTCTGGTTTACATAGTAAAGGAAAAAAATGCGGTTATCTCGCCTGGTTAGTATTAGAAATTGTTGTAAAATCGCCTTGTTCATTGGGCCGACCAAAAAAATTACGTTAGATATTCTGCCACTTCACGGACTTTCTACTAGTGATGTCCGCCCGCTCTATGAAACATAGAATAGTCTACTGCCTACGTGTCAAAATGAGAAGGAGGATGAAAATATGCCAAAGGAACCCCTGTTGTAAGCAGCATATCTGAGACCACTAAAACAATCACTAGAGAGACTACTCAAAAAGACCAATAAAAAAGACCACTGAAAAGATTCCATCGGATATATCATTCCATAAATTATAGGTCATTATTACTTAGAACGGTATCTCATGCCTGGTATGTATTTAGGAATTCGGCGTCTTTCTGGTTGCGTAGACATTATCTATGCATGTCAATGAATGTGGCTGCCCAAATTCTGACGCTCAGAAGATGCGAGAACAGTCTATGACGAATGAAATGGTGCAGCATGTGGCAGGAAAAGTATATGATTATTGCTATATCGAAACTGCAAAACCAGAGGGGATTATATATTCTAGACGAATGATGTGAGACACAGGTAAATCAGGGGAAAATTGGATCATGGCGGTCAACGGAGATTGCATATAATGGCAGCCTGCATACTCAAGCTAGTAGAGACACCGGGGTAATACGATGCTTGAATCCATCCATATTGGAACTCTCTTAGATAGTAAAATGAAGTGCAAAACCAGCTTCAATGTTCTACACTCTTTTAAACCTCGCCCCCACGCTAAGGCACTAGCTCAAACATTGAATAATGTCAAAGTGCAAGGTTGAATACATGGATTTTACATGGTATTATACCATGTAGATCACATGACTTCGAGTACTCGGCATACCATATATTACGCTTAGTCATCATTACCGCTCAGATTGTTGAAATAGCGGGTTTTTGTCATTTATGTTAGTTAGAGTCATCCACATCTGCCAGTTGTACCATACATTTGCAATACAGACAGATTTCTATCAGTTATGAGCCCGGCATCGTTCCATTGAGATCTAAGAAAAGATCAACCCTGCTATCGCCGAAGCTGAGGTTGAATTGACAAAGAGAAGTCAACTGCCTAGCGACGAAGCAACCCCTGAATTGAAGAAAAATCGGAGATCTGTTCATAACAACAACAAACATCAACAATATGGCCGAATACCTCTCCGCGGGTTCATCCTCTCGCGTTATACTAAAGGATTCGACGACATGGGATTCATGGTTAGCCAACATTGAATCAATTGCATTGTCGTACGAAGTTTGGGACCTCTGCAATCCTGAATTGGAGGCTGCACCAAAGCCGTTAGAGGAACCCAAAGAACCAGACATTGAGAAAACAAAGGAGGAATATAAAGAAGACTGGTTTCAAGTCTATCAAGCAACTCATCTTCAATGGACAAGCAAGAACTCTCGTTATATCAAGAAGAGACAAGGGTTAAATATAATGGTGACAGCTATTCGGAATAGTGTCCACGCCAACTATCAACCCTTTATCATTGACTACAAAACTCCATACGAATTGCTTCGTAACCTTCGTCAACGTTTCGCATCTGAATGTGACCCAACAAACGCAGCTAGGCTTCGTCAATTGTGGCGAACCCTAGATAGGGGGTTAGAACGGAACACCGATATTGACAAGTGGTTATTGAACTGGGAGACCGTACAAGCAAGGTGTAAGAGAGCAAAGATGCCGGAAGCAAATGATGCTTCGACTCAGTTTCTTGATGCTATCTCTGTTATGTCACCTGGATTCCACGAAACATGGACTCTAAGGCTCCAAGATAAGAACGACATCACGTTTACCGAGTTGCTTAACCGGTATAGAGCTCACTGGAAAATCACCTATGGCAAGCCAGTTGCTAGTCAAAGAGGTATTTCCAAAGCTGCATTCTCGACATGGCAAGGGCACGAAGAAGCAAAGCCTGAGCAGGTGTCATTCAGCACAAAACCATGCCCATGCGGGGTAAACGGAGGCAAACACGCACCCTGGAGATGCTGGGAGATGTATGATGAATACAAACCTGCAACGTACGAGAGAAACCAGGCAAGGAAGCAGAAATGGGACAAAGCTATGAAGGCTGACCCCGCCTGGAAGGCCTGGGTTGACAAGAAACGACAAGATCAGGGGAAGGCACCGCAACAAGCACATGCCACCTTTGACGAACCGACATTTGGCTTCTTCTCTACAGAAGCTAGTAAGCCTAGCAAGCTAGAACCTAGCAAGCAAGGGCCTAGCAAACAAGAGACAAGCAAGCCGTCGGCTAGCAAGCAAATCGACATCTTAACCACTGTTATGTCCACCCGAATCGACGACATTGAACCCGTACGAAACCGATGGGTAGTCGATACCGGCGCGCAAATGCATGTATGCAATAATCGGGGGTTATTTGTGACCTTCGAGGACGTACAAAGCAGCGTTAAGGTAGGGGATACAGAGACAACTGTCGACGGTATAGGCACTGTAGTAATCTATGGTGTCAGCGCAGTCAACGGCAAAGCAGTCAGAATGGAGTTATATAACGTCAAGTACTCTCCTAAATTCCATAGTAATCTGATATCCAATGGATTGATGATGAAGGGGGAGTTGTTGATGAATTTCAGGAAGAACTGCATTGAAACAACTGATGGAAAACCGGTATACCGAGTGTACCAGGATCAGAAATTGACGTGGTTGATGCAGCCAAAGGGGCTTCAGTACCCGAAATTGACACTAAATGACTTAGTATTTGCAACTAAGATCAAGAAGTCAGCAAAAGAACCACAATCAGAAGCATCAATCCAAACCTGGCATAGGCGCCTAGGCCATATCGGCCAGCAGCGTATTGCTAAGCTAGCAGAGATGACTGAGGGGATAACCATTGAAAGCAACCCTAGCAAAGAGAAGCAGGTATGTGAAGCTTGTCAATTGGCAGACGCCCCGAAGCAGATCTCTCGCCGGAAGATAGGCCAAGCGTATGGTATATTTGGACGGGTCCACTTCGACCTAGTACAGAATCAGCCAGCGTACAATGGTCATAATTGGTTGACGCATTTTTACCTTGATGGCATCAAATGTCACTTCGCGTTCACCCATACAAAGAAGAACGACTGTCAGATTGTTGTTAGGAAGTTCCTAGCACTAGTCAAGAACTGGCTGAAAATCGAAATCAGGGTATTCCACTATGACAACGAGCGAAGTGCTGGTCATGAAGTCGAAACCATGATTGAAGCCGAGGGATGCACAATTGAGCATTCACCACCCGGCTTACCAGAGATGAACGGCCCTGCCGAGAGATCTGGGGGGATGGTAGTACGTACTGCCAGGGCATTGATCAATGACACAGAGCTCCCCCACGCTCTCTGGCCTGAAGCAATGTATGCAGCAGCATATATCCTAAACAGGACACCAACTAAGGAAAGCAACGGCAACCAATGGTTTATACCTTGGAAAGAGCTTATGAAGCACGCCGCACCAGATGGCATCCAACATCAAACTATCAACCTGTCAAATATAAGGTTGTATGGTTGCTTGACGTACTCAAGAATCATCAAGAGAGTCCAGTCAGATAAGATGGCACCCAGAGCAGAGATAGGATATCTCGTTGGGTATATCTCCAAGAACCTGTACAAAGTATGGTTCCCCCACAAAGGACGTACTGGTATAGGAAGGGTAGAGGTCGTACGAGATGCCGTATTCGACGAGACGAGACGGTATTCGAAGACGAAGCCGATGCCTAGTGAAGAAGATGCTATTAGTACCATGACAGATGGACTAAGCATAGAGAACTGGCCAACGGTGCTTACCACAGAAGAAGCCCAGGTCGAAATCTCCATCCAGATGGAGATGCCGAAATCGATAGCTAGGATAGCTCTGCATGATGAAACTGAGCATACCCAACAGGATGCAGTTAATGAAACTGAGCATACTAAGCAAGCAGCTGATGAAACAGCTAATGAAGCAGTTGATGGAGCAGTTGATGAAGAGGTTAGGGAGAGAACCCCACTGCAGTCAGTTATAAAGGAAGCAGTTGGATTGCCTACCCCACAGTCTATTATTAGACCAAGAGAGCAAACAATGGGAGAGCAAACAAGGCCCCAGAGAAACCTACCAGGAAGCTTTCCAACATCTTCACCTTCATCACCACTAAGATCATCATCATCACCACGAACACCCTCACTATCCCCGAACCTACCGAATCCATCACTAAGAGAAGCACTATCATCATCACCAGATCCGATCTTAGTCATACAATCGATCGAAACTGGGGGGTGGATGCAGACGAAGTGAGAGATGACGAAGTGAGAGATGACGAAGTGAGAGATGATGAAGTGAGAGATGCAGAAGTGAGAGATGACGAAGCAGAGATAGAGAGACAGCTACAACGGGAGATAGTATATTCGCCGTCCCCATCATCATCATCGTCATCCCATCGAGCACCGAGAGACATATCTGGAGATGTCAACATGTCAAACGTCATCGTCGGTACTAGATCTAGGAGACCCAGAGCAGATCCTGAATACGCCGCATATCTATCTCTCAACGATGTCATATACGATGAACCACCAAGCTTGCTCTATGCTTTCACGACTAGCATGAACAAGCGATTCGATAACCAAAGAAAGCTTCATCGTGATGAATTACCTCCGCCACCAGAGAACTGGTCCCAGGTCAAGAACCATCGATTTGCCAAAGAATTCACAGAGGCAGCTGTATTCGAAATCGAGACACTGAAGAAGAAAGAGACCTTCTCACAGGTTCCAATCCCGAACAAAAGAAGCATCCAAGTGCTACCACTAAAGTGGGTTCTCACATACAAATTTGATGCCAACGGCATACTCGAGAAGTTCAAAGCACGAATCTGCGTACGTGGTGATCTACAATGGTTGTCTTCAGATGAAAAGAGAGCAGCTACCCTAGCTGTTAAAACTGCACGAGCAGTGCTAGCACTAGTGGCAGCCTTCGACCTAGATATGATGCAGAGAGATGTCATCACTGCATTTCTAAATTCAACACTACAAAGTGAGGTTTATACGAAGTGTCCACTAGGCTTCGAAGCAGCAGATCAATGCTGGTTGCTCCACAGAGCACTATACGGCTTACGCCTATCACCTAGGCTATGGCAGCAAGAAGCAACAAGGGTACTAGTCAAGCTAGGCCTTACCCCAGTGCCAGAAGACCCGTGTGTCTTTACTACCAATGGCATCATCGTCTTCTTTTACGTTGACGACATCATCATCGTGAATCACCCTAAATATGCTAAGCAAGCAGCTCAGCTAGATCAAGAGATCAAGAAGCAATGGGAACTGCGTGAACTAGATGCAAACTGGTTCTTAAATATACGCATTCTCCGAGACAGAAAACAGAAGAAACTATGGTTATGTCAAGATAGCTATATTGAGAGCATGGCAGCTAGATACAACTTGATCACCGCAAGGAAAGTTGGATCTCCCCTAGCTACTGAACAACTGATTCCGTACGATGGAGTGGCATCACCGAGTCAGATTCATGGTTTCCAGGCCAAGGTAGGATCTGCTCAGTATGCTACTACCATCACCCGGCCAGATGCTGCAAAGGCGACAGCTAAACTAGCTGAATTCTTGACAAACCCCGGCCCGAAGCATATTGATGCTATCGACCGTGTCATTCAATACCTGTACGAAACCAGGTACTGGGCCATCGAATATGGCACCAGAGATCATCGAGATCAACATAATAAAAACCAAGGTCTCCAGCTTGCTGCAAAATCCGTTGAATTTGCAAGCGATGCATCATTTGGAGACAATAAAGATAGGAAGAGCTCCGAAGGCTATATTTGCAAGCTGTACGGCGGCCCAATTGACTGGAAAGCGACGAAGCAAAAGACAGTGACGACGTCGACTACCGAGGCAGAACTCCTTGCTTTGGCAGAAGCAGGTAAAAACTGTACAATGGTGGCGCCGAGTCCTTACTGTATTAGGCTTCGAACCAGACCATCCCTTGTCTATTATGTGCGACAACCAGCAAACCGTCGATTTGTTGACAAAGGAGGGAGCCACGATGCATACAAAGCTCCGACATGTCGACATTAATCGATGCTGGATGAAGCAAGAAGTTAGTGTAGGCAGAGTCAATGTGGACTGGGTTCCAACTGCAGCTATGCCTGCAGATGGCCTTACAAAGGCACTTCCGAAGCAGAAGCAGCACCTCTTCAGAGAGATGATTGGAATGAGAGAGATCAGTCACCGGATCTGTGAAACAGAGGTTGATGGAAGAGAAGTGAAGAAATGAAGGAATCAGCAGCTCTTGAAGCCAAGAAAATGCAGGCTTTAAGAGCTGGGGGGTGTGTCAAAGTGCAAGGTTGAATACATGGATTTTACATGGTATTATACCATGTAGATCACATGACTTCGAGTACTCGGCATACCATATATTACGCTTAGTCATCATTACCGCTCAGATTGTTGAAATAGCGGGTTTTTGTCATTTATGTTAGTTAGAGTCATCCACATCTGCCAGTTGTACCATACATTTGCAATACAGACAGATTTCTATCAAATAACTATGTTAATTTTTAAAACCCCACGTGACTATGCATGAACCTGCATATCGCCCGTCATCACCAGCCCCTGATCTTGAACGAAGTAAAATAAGCCCAATTGAGGCCCCGAGGTCTCACAGGCCGTTTTCCAAGCAACACATTATTTCGCGGTCTCCTGTCTCTTAAAGGCCGGTTCATGGTGGCTTCCAACTCAACAGCTTTAGTTAGCTGGCAGTTAGAGGACGGCGGTCGCTCCACATGGGCTCTGGTATGGTCCTGTCTGGTAACGATATTCGCATGTACCTGGACAGTCCTACACCCAGATCTCCCTCGACGAAACTCGCCCACTGTGCGAATAATTATTGCCAACTTCTCATATTGGCTCCTTGCTATCTTCTTCCCAGAGTATGTGTTCGTGCACGCTTCATGTGGGCTTTACCGAGCAATGCTATTGAAGCAGGTATGCAACGAAGCACAGAAAGCCAGATATCTTGAATCAGTGGACCGGGAGTCTTGGTTGTCGAAACGGGCTATGCCACTAGAGCAAGTGCAAAACCAAGACTCGGCTGATCCCCATGCATTTCACACTGAGTGGACCCTTCGAAAATGTTTCTGTATTCTTGCTGGTGGACTTGCTTTGCAGACCCAGGACGGGTGGATTTACATTCTCCGACGAAGCGATATGCAACCGTTCATTCAGGCTGGCATAATCGAAGACGTGGACTTCCACGATCGTGATATTGAAGACCGTGCTAAATCTGATTCTTTGGGGAAAACATTCACTGTCATTCAAACCGCTTGGTTCCTGGTCGACATGATAGCAAGATGGGCAACTTCTCTACCGGTTGCACCAATCGAACTGGCGACGGTCGCTTATATTGCCTGTGGGCTACTGCTGTATGCCATGTGGTGGTACAAAGCAAAGGACATGACAACACCTATCACGATTTATGTCAGATGCACTCGTGAGGATATGCCGACTCACCTTCTTGATCACACGGCGACAAATCCTCGTGGTTGGGTTCATATCCGTGCACAAATAAAGAAAGGAACCGTTTTTTCTATTTTTGCGCAGGGTATTCGATTCCTTCGTGATGCAACATGGGAAATTGACGTTATCGCAAACGATGAGGTCCCATATACTACTCACTATAAGCCATCTCATGGATGCATTGTGACTGGTGTCAATACCTTTGTTGCTTTCCTTTACTGTGGTATTCATCTGGCCGGGTAAATACTAGTCTACTCTTGACTATATAGAATCCTGGTATTGGTTTACTAACAAAAGGCTGTTCTTTATAGATGGAATTTCCCGTTCCCTACCGAAACCGAACGAGTTATGTGGCTTGTCTCATCATTTGCTTGCATTGTCATGGTTGGTATTTACAGCCTAGCAAGTACCATACCTACGTATGTGTTCTGGTTTGAGTCGAGAAGCCTGTTTTCCTTCTATACGAAGGCATTCAATGCTCGAAAGCTCTTGATGTATCAGATGCTCACGCTCACTATGTTTTTGTGCTTTTTTGTATATGTTATTTTACGACTGATCATCATGGCACTAGCTTTTACTTCATTGAGAGCTCTTCCGATCGGTTGCTATACGACTGTCGAATGGGCGATGAGCATTCCACATGTTTAAAAAAGGCTTGTCAAACTGGAGCCAGGGGTTTATGGGTGAACGAGAAGAGCGTATAGGCAAGAGTTGTTGAGTCTATTGAAACCTCCGCCTTTATATCCATCCGTATGTCCACGGGTATCTGGCTGTTCTCTGCTAATTCACTGTATCTGTCATCTGTCTTTTGGTACTCTTTTCAGCAATCATTTCAGCATATAGTCTTTTCAAATATTCTTGTTGGTAGACTTATGGTTGTCATTCTTGATATTTCCTCCCTTTTTGGCGTTGCAGTTAGGAGAATTAGCCGCAAAAAATAGAACATAGTGAAAAGAGTGTAGAATTTACTCATCCATATGTAATATTTGAATCATGATAGTATTGGGAAGGCAAACAAACGTGTTATACCGCACCTTCCTCTCGCGGACCTTCTTCTGTCGTCAACTTTAGGTCCTAGGCTCCAAGCCACCTACCCTTAAGCTCAGCCAAACAGTTATACGCATCAGACGACCATCATGGGTCGATGGGGATGGCGTCAGTATCACCGTACCTGGTCCCTTTTACTCTCTCTCAGGTCTAACCAGCGTCTATCTCAGGTCTGTTCGAAGGCGACCAGGACCTTGACGCCGTTCTCACCTTGACCAAGGATCTAGATCTCAAGCCTGATTCCTGGGTGTACAGTTTGAGTTCGATGATTCATCAAACGGATATGTTAGCACCCGCAGAAGCTCGTGCCCTCTACAGCACCGCCGAATACGCCGATTCGCTAGTCAACGTCACCATCCCCGTACATCCGCCAGAAGCTCGACACCGACAACCTCGGAGAGCGGCTTTTTGCCACCTGTCGCGCGAAGGAAAACGACACGGACGACTTCTTGCAACAATCCAAGTACCAAACTATCATCCTGGGTGCTCTCATGATGCGCGCCGGTGCTCGCATCAACGCAGCGGATCTTGAACATCTACGTGATCTAGTGCCTCAGATCAACTGCACCTCGCGCCGAACGCTTTTCGATGACCATGGATTCAGAACTCCAGGAAAAGCTCAGTTTCTTGCGGCGTTGGATCACTACGAGCCTGGTGTTGCGCGTAGCTTCCAGGAACCTAGGTGAATTCTACCTGGGGGGATGATCAACACATATATTTTATGCTAACGACCTTGATAGCTGCTTCAAGTGTGGAAGGATCGAGGCAGATATCGGCCACAAGCCTCTGCAATGCAAGAAGTGCAAGGTTGCGACGTACTGCAGCAAGGTAAGCATGATGCAAGCCAGCTTTCCAACTTATGTTCATGGATATTGATTCTTCATAGGAATGCCAGCGCGAGCAGTGGCGCGAGCACCGAGTGAGCTGCGTTGTCCCCAGACTGCGCCTCATGTTGAACGTCTGATTGCACTGTTTGGAATGACACTGGGGCAATATTCCGATGTTTCTACCTGCCTTGTGCTTGAGTGTCTATCTCGATGCTCGCAATACCCGAGACCCAGAATTTCTTGAGATATTGATTGACTTTATTTCTTATGTGGGAACTAGCATCTGCTTTTCTACCGATTTGTTCAACCGATTGACTTCCAAATTCAATTTGCCTACTGCTGTTGTACTATGAGAGAGACAACTAGAAGATATGTGTTAGCCTAAGTAAATGTAGTATCTATATGCCGTAGAAAAGAAATGGAACGTATATTGTAGATGTAGAGAAATATTTAGTAGTCTGACATTGGAATGCCTATGCAATTAGCTCAGCAATTATTGAGGTCGTAATTCGTAGTCAACCGACCGATCGAAGATAGCTGCTAGAAGCTCTAAGTACAAACTTACTACCCAGTCTTATAGCGCTCAGGGTTCAAAACCGGGATTTGGTGCCTGAATACGTTATTTTAGAACTGCAGAAAATTAAGATACCTGAATAACGATTACATATGCCTTAGTAATCAAAGTAGCCTGATTCTGCTGGCGTTCACAAGTGTCAAAAATGAAGCTTTTCCTCTGCGTACAAATCCACGTATGCAGCCATTTCTCGGCGTTGAAGCCCTTTCACTACGTAATCATTTCATCTCTTTTTTTGACTTGCAAACCATCCAAGAAAGTGGAGATATCTGCATTTGTATGAGATGAAAAGTTTCATTTTTGACACTTGCACCGTCCAAAAACATGGAGATCGAAACCATCATACTGTGTATAAATAATTACAACAATGTAGTTAGTTATAGAGCAGTGTGGAGAGCGGTGCTAAATAAGGCATTCAGGCATCAAGAATCCCCCTAAAAAGGGGGTTTGAACCCTGAGTGCTATAAGACTGGGTAAACTTACACCCACCTTCGATGGAGAATGATTCTAGCAAAAGCAAGAATCCACCAGAGCATCTCTAAAGCTTTACAAACCCCTTAGGCAACTCCATCCGTTCAAACCACGCCTTAGCAGTTTCTGCAAATACTTGCGGTTCCTGACGATTCCACGGATGTCGCATACTCAGATGTGTATACGCGACAGTCTCAGGATTCAACTCTCTCCCAATCTCCATCAGCTTCACAGCATCATGTGGATGATCATTAGTGGGAATAAACCCGCCTTTCCCTGCAGCAACGATAAGAGTGCGCGCACGCCATGGCGAAGGCCACTGTGCTGGTGTCTCTGGCGATACGATTTGCCTACACAAGTCGAGGGTGCAGGTACTCGTATCAATGCGAGGAATATCGGCACCATCCATTGCCCAGCGGATTAAAGGACGAGGAAGACAATTTTCCAGTCTAGGCATGGCCCATGCTGCGTATGGTATATAAGGCGTAAGTGATGTTTGGGGGAATATCTCAAAGCCTGAGATGAAGATAGAATTGACCACTTCGGGGTCGCTGGAGGCTAGACGAATGGCGACCTGCGCGCCTAGACTGTGACCAATGATGTGAGCTGAGCCGTTGATAGCGTGTGTACGGATCATGTCGGCGATGAGGCGAACTGAGAGATCCACTGAGAATGGTGCGGAGGATTTCCCATGGCCTGGAAGATCTGGGACCAGGAGGTGGTAAGAATTGGGGAGGTGGGGGATGACTAGATCCCAGTAGAGGCCGGATACCAGGGCGCCGTGGATCAGGACAACGGTAGTTTGGCCTGTTGGATTATACACCGTATGGTGCAACTTGGGAGGGTCTATGGTAGACATGGCTGTTGGAGGAGAAATGTACAATACCTCCGTACAGAAAGAAATGCAATTTGGCCCCCACATAACACACGTACATCAACACCCAAAGGCCAATCATATGTGATGCCCATGGTGTATCCACTTCACCAAGCTTGATAATCGTGGAGATCCCGGGTCTAAATGTCTTGGTGTCGTAAGAGGGAAATCTTTACCTTTTAACATCCTGGAATGCTTATGGAGTTCGATGCAAATTGAGCAAACAAACAGGGCTATGAACAGGCGATCTGTTAAAGCCCTCTGCAGCTCGTAGTTGCATTACTGAAGCGAGCCCGGTACTATCTGGAAGTCAGTCTATTATCTGTCCGAGATAGGATCGCCGTGCTAGTTCCGGGGGGCAGTGGGTGCTGGCGGTCACCGCCATCGCCGGGGGCGCTGGGCCCGGGGCTTTCGAAATTAGTAAACTAGAATATGCCTCTAGGTAGCTTCCAACGTTGGATTAAAGCATGTAATCAACCCTAATGTACATAAGTAGTATGTACAGTTCCAGATTGTTTAATCCCTAGTTCAAGGGGTATGCCCACACTAAATAGTGCCCACACTAAATACATAGTGCCCAAACTAAGTAGTGGCCACACTAAATAGTAGCGGCATGATTATTTCTGGAGCGGTAGATACAGCACCGTTTGATATTTATGGATTCACCAAAGAGCACGTGCGGGGTAAGTTGGATGTGAAGGGGCAAGTGTAGTTGAAGCCATTCACATGAGTCTCATAGCCATCCACGTGGCCTTCGACGTCCATCTTTTTTATTGTCTGTTGTCCCTGGTCGTTCTTGGTGAACCTTGTTTTTTTTTTTGTTTTTTTTTCATCAACCTGCAGTGGAAAACAGTTATTAGCAGTTTGAAAGACCATCCTTGGTCTACAAGGCTAATCAGTTGTCCCCATTGTGGTGAGAGACCTGTTATCGTCTGGTTCTCTGGCTGTCGACTGAGAAACGATAAGAGGAGTTCACACTACCGACACACGCCATCGTGGCACAGTGAGATATTTCATTCAATTCATCGATTCAGTAAGTCGTCAAGACTCAACTGTGAGCAATTTGAAAAGCCATGAGCTAATGTGGTGGGTTTGTGTATAGTTCAAGACCAAAGGTCCTTTCACTTTACAACAACGGACACCCGCTCGACACAGATACTGCACGACACGCCAAGATGTCTGTTGAGCACACTCGCGATTGGTCCACCCTGCTGCCCGCTGAGAAACCGGATGGACCAGTTGACCAGGCATTTCAGCTGCCAGTCATTGAGTGTTCCACGCTGTACCGGTTTCCCTGTGCTCTGAAACATCCATCTGAATATGAAACTTGGCGCAATGAGATCTATCACACGCTCAAGATCCACAACCTTCATCGGCTCATTGACTCTAGCATTGAGCGCCCCTACAAGGACTCGCCCAATGCTAGAAACTGGCAACAGATGTCGATAGAGGTCCGCAACTGGATAGCGTGGAACATGAATCCAATCCTTGTGCGCATGATTGTGAACGAACAACCCCGAGCTGAACTTGCAGACGAGTTCATGGCGGGTGCAGATGCAATTATTCGGCAGTCCACTTCCCAAAACCCCGAAGAAGTCGGCGATGTTATTTTCAAGTTTATCGGGTGCAAGCGCACCCGATTTGACAGTGCCCGGTGGTTCGTTCACCGTCTTATGGAGTATTACACCCACACCTTGAATATGAAATTGAGAATTCCGCCATTCGTCCCCCTGTTGATTTTGTTGTCAGAAATTGAGGATGATGTGGGAACGGACTTTGTCAATCTCAGATATGACCGATTGGAGGAGATGAACAACATTGCCGTGGACGTTACCAGAGCATACTTTGAGGACGTTTACCTCGACGTGTTGGAGTACCTCGATTCGATGGATCAACCAAGCCGTTTGACTGAAGTAGTGTGATAGTGCAACAAGAGAAAAGAGCATGGGAACGCCATGGCCATTCTCATGTGGTTACCAGAGCTCTACAATAGGGTTCTTCACTCAGCCGTTCAAATATGAAGTGTGTTCGAAGACGTCGAGAAAGGAATGAAAATGACAAGGCTGTTTTCCAGAGGCTGTTTTGAGCAGTTGCCCAGTATGGGAGGAACTCTGTGGAGGCACATGCTAATTGTAGTTTACATGAAATGAATACAATCTCTTACTGTCAAACACATGAGTTATGCGCATTAAAATAAACATAAGGTTCCACGCGATATGAGAGTGGCCCCACCGCAGCGACCACGGGACTCGTCTCTAGCAATGATTCAGCGCCTGGAGATTAGGCGGCTTCAATAAGTCTGATTGGCTGGTACACATATATAAGTGGAGCACTGAATCATCGCTTGGGCTGAATATGGGGCTCGAAATTAAATACTTCGTCGGCTTACCCGAATCCTGCCAATTTGTGAACCTTTTTATGAATATAATAACAGTTATGACTTAATATAGCACCAATAACAACGCTAATTTCGGTGCATTTCTCCGTATCGGAGACAAAACGTTCCAGCTGGAATTTATACCAACGGCTATCGCTGATCGTAGCCTGTTCTATTTTTTCTTAAAATTTTACTCTTATATCTGATCGATTCTTCCTTTTCTTCCACTCATTAAGACTATTTAACCTTGCCTCTTCTTGGCACGACCATCTATTTTCTTTCCCTTTATACTAATTCCCACACGCCAAGCGTCCATTCCTATCTATATTTACAAACACTTTCAAGCTTGTCACCCATCATGGATACTCTCCAGAAAGAGTCCATTTCAACAAATGCAACCCTAAACGAAGGGGACAGCATCAGAAACCAAACGCCAGACCTCGAGAAACAGTCAACAAATCAACCCACCGACACATCAGCATCTACCAAAGAACTATTCCCAGTAACAGACCTCAGCCGCGGAATAGTAGGCTGGGACGGACAGGATGACCCCAATAATCCCCAAAACTTCCCCGCCAACAAAAAATGGGCCTTGCTCTCCCTGATCAGTGTCATGACTCTGATCTCCCCGCTCGCCTCGAGCATGTTCTCACCCGCCATCTCATACGTGGCAAGGGAGTTCGGAGTAATGGATCAGACAATCTTGTCGTTCAGTGTCAGCATCTATATCCTTGGCTATGCAGTAAGCTCAGTTCAGCCCCAATAATCTATGCAGCCCAATCTGACATGGCGGATCTAGTTTGGCCCCCTTCTACTTGCCCCTCTGAGTGAGGTCTACGGCCGCCGCGTCGTCCTTAGCGGCGCTAACTGGTTCTTCGTCGTCTGGCAAATTGGCTGCGCACTCTCAAACAACATCGAAACCCTCATCATCTGCCGCCTGTTCGCCGGAATTGGCGGTTCGGGATGTTTAACTCTCGGCGCAGGTGTGATCGCAGATCTGTTCCCGCGTGAACAACGCGGCATGGCAACCTCTGTCTGGGCTATGGGACCACTCATTGGACCCGTGGTTGGTCCTATTGCGGGTGGATTCCTTGGACAAGAAGCCGGCTGGCGCTGGGTGTTTTGGCTGTTGCTTATTGTGGGTGGTGTCGTGTCGTTCGGTGTTGAGGTTCTGAACAAAGAGACATATGCCGATGTTCTTATTCGCTGGAAGACTGAGAAGCTTGCTAAGGAGACCGGGAGAACGGATTTGCGCAGTGCTTATGACACAAGTAAAGAGGCTGTTGGGTTGAGAGAGACTCTTGTGCAGAGCTTCAAGAGGCCGATTTTATTGTTGTTCAAGTCGCCAATTGTGTTCCTTCTGTGTGTCTATATGGTGAGTTTAACTCCGGTCGTGATAGAAGAACTGTCCTTTCCAAAATTCGGTTTACTGACATCATCTTCCAGTCTTTCATCTACGGTCTGCTCTACCTCTTCTTCACCACCATTCCGGGTGTCTTTACCCAGAGATACGGCTTTTCCGTCGGTCTCTCGGGACTTGCATACCTCGGCATTGGCTTCGGTTTCATTGGCGGTCTCGCAATGATCGCCTTCACAAACGACCGGATGGTCATGGCCGCTACAGCAAAGAACGGTGGCAAGTTCGAACCCGAGATGCGTCTCCCAACGATGATCATCTTCGCCTGCATCCTGCCAATCAGCTTCTTCTGGTACGGCTGGACAGCCGAAAAGCAAGTGTTTTGGATCGTGCCCATTATTGGAATGTTCCCCTTCGGAGTCGGTATGATGGGCGTGTATATGCCCATCCAGACATATGTCATCGATTGCTATCCCAAATATGCAGCTTCCGCCAACGCCACTTTGACAGCAACTCGCTCCCTGGTTGGAGCTCTGCTCCCGCTTGCTGGACCTAAGATGTTCGATGCTCTGGGTCTCGGATGGGGCAACTCATTGCTCGGCTTCCTCGCTTTGGCATTCATCCCGATTCCTATCATCTTCATCAAGTACGGCAAGGTGATCCGCGAGAAGTGGCCTGTGGATCTTGATGGTAAAAAGGCCTGAGCTGCTACTATCTTCAAGGACATCCTACTCGCTCCACATCAACCTTGTCTCTCTCCATGATCGGGGTGATGCTTAACGACCCACATATAGAAGCTGTATAGGCACAATTCATATAATAGAGCATAATAGAGCATAATAAAAATGAATTCCTGCACTTGAACCTATCATTCCTTACAAAAGCTCAATCACAACCTGATTAATATCCATCCCCTCCACAAGATCAGGATACCGTCTAATAAAGTCTGGCGTAAGCCCCCACCCACTTTCACTCATAAACAAATCATAAAACGCCTTTTTGATACACAACTCGTTCCGCTCATCCCGCTCAAGAACCTTCTCATTCCAAGGCCATCGAAGTTTAACACAACAAGCAAGGAGCCCAAACAGGTAATCCCGGTCCTTGGCATACACATGCCATCGCCGGATCAGATTCAGCCTCATCCTTGGCCACGGCATGAAATCCAACACAAGCGGATGCGGAATTGTCATCTGGCCCTGCACAGGCCTGAGAAACACAGGTAGTCGCTCATAATTCTCCGGGCTGGGCGCGATGACCCATCTCGAGAAGTGATAAGTCAGCCAGCCAGTACCCAATCGCTCTGGGTCACGGACTGGGCGGCGTTGCAGGGCCGTGTGGATCATGTCTGCTAGCGCGTTTGTTTTCGTGCCGTACAGTAAGTCTAGAGGGGAATTTGGGGTGTCTGGACATGGGAGTATCAGTTCTGGGTAGACGAGCCATGGACACGAGATCATGGTTCGTGTGTTGAAGTCGTCAGTGTGTGGCGGGATTTGTTTCCACAGAGGCGTTGTTTCGGCGGAAAGTGGTTCCAGGCATGGAGATTGCATTTTTGGGGGTGTTGATGCAGCGGACACGGGGGTGTTGAGAAGACTGCTTATCCCGTGCTGGGGTATTGATTCATTGAAGTTCGTTTGGAGGGCGAATTGGGCTTCTCGACTGTTTATCTCCTCATATAGAGATGACAAGCCATGGCTAGAGTCATCGGTGACGGCTGGTTCATCCAGTTCTGTCTCCCAGGAGTTGACAAGGGATTTTAAGTTATTTTGGCGCGCGATAAGAACTTCATTTTGCTTGCGGAGTCCATTGATTACTTGGAGAAGGCGTTGCACACCTTGGTCGCTGTGATGCTCCTCGCAATGCGCCACCTGTTCTTCGAGCTGGGCTACATGTCGCAGCTTCTTTTCGCGGAGAGTCTGCTGTGAGCGACGATCTCGAAGGCGTTTTTTCTCATTGGAAGACATTGGGTTTGATGCTTCGATGTCGTGGAACAACGGGATCGGCTGTTCAAGGTTTTGGGTTATGCATAACTCAGCATAAGTGGATATGCATAATCATTATGCAGACATCTACAACTTCGTGCTTCTACTATCCTTGGGAGTATTTCTACAGCATTTCTACATTTCTGCAAGTTTCCCTTAACTTCCACCTGAGAGGGCCTTCCTCTAGGGCTGCCCAGGTGTAAATACGTGACTAGTGCATCCTACACATGCCTCAGGCATTCACGTTTTTAGTTCATGCAGACTTCCACAATATATATCTCAGAAGAGGATCCGACCGTGATCACCGGCATAATTGATTGACAATCAACCAGCATCGAACCAGCCTCCCTCTACAAGAATCAAACCCCGAAATTTGCCGCTCTACCCGGACCGCCCCGGAAAGTTTTATGGGACATGAGGCGCAAGACACTGTTCAAAAAGACAGCGACATAAAAGATGCCTCAATCTGCAACCGAATATACAACCTAGCAATGACAGAGTCTACCCCCAAGGTGCGCGCTTGAAGACTCGTCGATACAGCTCTCTTTAGTGTCTTCCATTACTGCTATACGACATGGGCAGATAGCGCCGTGATGATTCGCCAGAGGCTGATTGAGCTCTCTTCTCGATGGAAAGAGTTGGTATTAGATGGATCGTGTTCGTACTCGCCAAACGAGGAGGAATTGAGGAAACATAAGCAGGATTTGGAGGACTTTGAGGTCCAGCAGACACTCATGTTCTGGTTAATGGCTAATATGAACACCAACTCTGCTGGATGGGTTCCGAATGGGATTGGGAGAGTGCGCCGGATGCTAACCGTGCTGCATATCTTATGTGGATTGAAACTGCTGGCGTGCCGGAAGCTGAGGGGAAACTAAGTATATACTGCTTTAGCACCCAAATGACTCCTATTCGGATGCTTTGCTGACCAACACACAGCCATGTAATATAGCTGTGAGTTCTTCTTGATTTGTGTGAACTGACTATATCTGATATTTCGGTAGCGCTACCACTTTTCATGACGGATAACATGGAGTTCTTCCAACCCGTAATAATATGTACTAATCCATGGCTAGGTCTGTTTATTAAAGCCGTTCTGGGGTTCGTAAAGTCATATCAAAGTAAGAAACAGCAGATGCTGTCCTGTATTGACCAAAAACTAGCCAAGCCCATATGTCCAAGCGCTGACATTCATAATGCGGGGTCAAATTTTCTTACGGAGGACTCCCTTCTTCTTGGACTCGCTTTGTCAAAAATTGTTATCCTCAACCCTCCAAGATTCAAATGCAGACAATCCTCGACAAAGCTTGTGCTATGGAGCTTCTACAATTTACTGACCCTTTACTTGAGGAGGCTCTTTCTGAACACTCATGGGCCAACCCACCCGATCCTGCTTACTCTGGTCCCCTCCTTCGGGTGTGGGACAAAAAATCCGGCAGTCGCCCAGATGAATCAAATATAATGCTGGCTGGTTTGTCTCGGGGGTAGTTGGGTTCGCGAGAAAGTCGAACAGCGTAACTAGCCACACATGCTTACTATCGGACATGGAAGCCAACGCCATTCATATCATTTACGGCGTCAGTATCGGGTCTACAAAGATTTCTATCCAGGAGAAAGGGGCCAAGGCTCCCTAGAACACTTACGGTTATCAATCCAAACGTTCGCATTGCCAAAGGTCTACCAATGCTCCATATGGAATCAGAATTAAGACATTACGAAGTGCAGGACCCATACAAACTCTGTGCTTCGAATACAACATGTTAAAGTCCATGCTTTAGTATCTTAAACATGTGCGTTTTACTTCTGTCACTGATGAGGCTTAAAGGTTCTTTATGTTTCAGACATGCAAGGCAACAGCTGTTGTACTGTATCAAATTGTCCCTAGATAGTTTGTTTTTAAGCCCCCCTCTCTCCCTCTCTCTTTCCTTCTCCTTCGTTCATCTATCGCTCGCTGGATCTACGTTTTGGCTTTCTCCATTAATCATTCCTCATCCAAAGCGTATATCCCTAGTCCAATGGTCTTATCTCCAGGGCGACTTTCTGAGGACAATTATGATAACAGCCTGATGTACACTCAAAGTTGTGTGTCCTAAACAAGGAGCACCTGGGCCATGTATGGTTGGCATGTTATGTGAACAATCAGTAGTCTAAATAAAAGTGGATTTGGCGGTTCTGTGAATGGTAATGTTCATGACTTATATAGTTCATCAGCCTCAACCACGTGTATGACTTCAGCGAACCACCAACACCCTATTCATTTGGTGTGAAGATGGCCATGTTAATTGCCAGTAATGGTTTTTTTGTATCTGATCCTCTAAATATGACATCTTTCAATGTTGGAAACATATTTCAAGGTCTGTGTATGTTCACGCATGAGTCCTTGGCAATCGATAGGGCTTATCTTATCGTCTGCCAATCTCCTGACCGCGGGATGTCGCTTTCTTCACTCCCGAGGTCCACCTGCTTCGTCTGTCCCCATTCATCAAGTCTCAGTATACCCTTTGTCGTGGGTACCACTCGCCCGATCTCCAGGTAGGACATAGCCTCTCTCAAAAATGATGCGCCAAGACTTGTACGCTGACAGTCCTCCGTTTACAGCAATCCTGCTGCCTTCCACCCCTCAGGCCCTTGTTATCTTATCACGGCATGTGGATTTAGGTCTGACAGAAGATCTGTAGCGCTTCCTAGGCCACTACATTCCTGCCGCCTTTTGATATTTCCTGGCCGACCGTAACCGCCCTCTCAAAATGGACCAAGATGAGGCTCCACCACCCCCGTACTCGCCCGTCGACCCATTACTCGCACCGGCAAACAGCCGAAATAACAATCCTTCTCAAGCCCCGATTCCTCTTGGGGCGAGTGTCCCTCAAACGCAGGATGCCAGTAGCTCTCGCGTTCCAACACAACCGACAGTCGTGCCGACGCATTTCAGATCCGCCGCTGCGTACTTCGAGGAACGGCTTCCCTCGGTCTTAGACGAGAGCCGGGGTCTTCTGCATCATCATATGACCATCTACCCTCGGAGCCAAACTAAAGACTTCCCCCGACGGCCACGCTGCTGGGCATCACGGTTAGATGAGATTACCCAGCAGGACTGGGATACCTTCTTAAAGTACCTATTTCCGCCGCAATTAGGACTCGCTGCATCCTCTCAACATCTCCCGCGCCAATTACGAGCGGAAATTAGACGAGACCGCAAGGACCGCCCACAGGAGACTGATGAGCAACGAAAGGCTCGAATCGCCGCCGTTGTTGCCGAATGGAACGAATGTTTTTTCGGGTATCGCGCTACCCAGATAGTCTTTATCTATGTAGGCGAACCTGATTCTGCGCCGTCGTCCGCTTTATGCCCCCGATGCTATCCAGCGGCAACGGGGACAATAGAAGGCCAACCAATTCGAAATTCAAATGCTCCATCGTCTGTGCCTGGGCAGCAGGTTCCTTCACCGACCCCTTGGTCGATGCCTCCTCCTATGTTCCACAATCCCCGAGTACATGTACCTCCATCTCCGTATGGAGTATATGGTGTTCCTCCATACCCTCCCCCCATATCTCCTAATCAACCACCTCAATATTACCCCCATCCACCACAGGGCGCATGGCAATGGAACAGTTGGAACCATCCACAGCAGCAACCGCAGTATCCCAATAACGGCATCGCCAAGGCTGGGTCCCGCGGGTGGATTTCACAGATCGCATCACAAGCGCAGAAATACGGAGAGCGGTTCAGCGAACAGGCGCAACAATATGGAGACCACATCAGTGCACAGGCACAGCATTACGGGCGGCAGGTCGAGGAGCAGGCTCTTGCACATGGCCGCTGGATTGAAGAACAGGCAAGGCTTCATAGTCGAAAAGCACCAATAGCTGGACCTCCATATGGTGGTGGCTACTACCCCCGGCCGGCCTGGGATAACTCGCCTCGTCCCATAGCCAACATTCCAATGACCCCGATTCAAAGCCCCAGCCCTGTGACAAGTCCTAATCCGACGGGTTGGCCTGAGACTACCAGTCAGATGGATAGCAACAAACCTAAGTCCCCAACAGAAGTGCTTCTGATAGAGCCCCCCGCGACCGAACGCACTAGGAGGGTATCAGTGAGCTCCATCTCATCTGAGTCCTCCTTCAGCTCATTTGATTCGATCTCGACAACATCGGACTTGGGCGTTTCAGACCTTGCTACAGTGCGCACTCAGTTGGAACTTCTAGACGATCGGCACGATCGGGTGTTATATGATGCCGCCGTCGATCTCCGCCGGCAACTCTCGGTCTTGCAAGAGTCCCGCCGAGAGACCAAGTTCTCCGGCAAAGCCAACTGGCGAGCTGGTTTCAGCCAAAGCCAACAAAACAACCAACAATCTGGCGATGCCGACTGGGGCCGCTGGGACTCACCCGAGCAGCAGCAACGTAACTCGGTCGATAGGCGCGCGATGAAAGAAGAAATGCGCGCTACTAAGAAAGCGTTCAAGGACACACTGCGCCGAGCACGAGACGAGCAGCGTGAACGCCGACGCACTCGACGCCGCCAGGTCCGACAAGCTCGCGCTAGTGATGGCGATAAGGCGAAAAACATGTATGACCAGCCGCTGGATCAGCAGCTTGGGACGTTGCGGCTGGAAGATTCTCGGCCTAACCCACCTTTGCCTGCACGTCCGGTCAACACACAAACACAGCCTAGTCCGGTCTCTACGCCGACTAGCTCGAATGTCGGATTTGGATTTGCTTCCAATCCCCCGTCCCCTGCTAGCTCACGGCCGAGCACGCTGGAATCAACACCTTCCGGGGACTCTGCCACTAGCAAGAAAGGGAAGCCAGCTGATACGCAGAGTCGTTTAAAGGATATGCTGTTGCAGCGCAAGCCGAAGAAGGATGATGGGGGAAGTAAATGATCTGGAAAAGTTACATTGTTGATCTTGTCTTTTCTTTTCTGTTTTTAGCCTGGAGTTCAATATTTCCTTGGGACGGCGAAAATGATTTTGCTCTCCTCGATGCGTACAAATCTCGACCACCCAAGTCGACGAAGTTACGATTCACATTGATACATAGTATCGCGAATTACAATTCGCATCTCCACACATCCTGAATAAAATGAAACTTTTTCAAGATCTCTATACATACAAAGAACTTTCATCCCCATTGGCATCTCTATACACCTAAGCCTTCGCCTCATTCTTCTCAACCAAATCACCAACACCCAGTCCCCTCCCAACCTTAACCTGAATCATCTTTTCCACATCCTTCTTCCCAAGGTCTCCAACCTCCTCACCTTCATCCTCATGTCCATCGTCATCCCCATTCTTCTCTTTATTGCTCTCCGCATCCCGCTTCTCAATCGCCTTCCAATCAAGCCACATACTCTGAAGATTCAAGCGCATAGCATACGCATCCTCGCCATCAGCGTAGTATCCATCCTCGACCTTCTCAACTTCAAAGCCAAGCGTATCACGGTAAAGTCGCAGCGCAGCAATGTTTGACATGCGCACGTGAAGTGAGACGAAATGTGCGCGGTGGGATTCGGCCATTGCGCGTTCTGCAAGAATCATATAATTAGACCCGGTCCGTAATGATAGAGAAGCAAACTCAAACACAAAAGCAAAAGCAACACAAAAGCATCCATGGAAAGCAAACTCAGACCAAAAAAGAATTCAACTCACGACTCATCCGCATCAACTTCTCCGCAATCCCCAACCGTCTATGCGTGCGCATAACACTCAGACTGGTAATATGACCATGCTGATTTCCGTCCGTAGGTTCCTCCTCCATCTTCGCAAGAACATATCCAACGACCTTTGGATACTCTCCTGCGACATTTCCCGCCATTCCGGCGCCGGTGGAGCTTTGCTTGTATCCTGCGCGCGGACGCATGACCGCGACGAAGCTTAGCTGCGGCCAGGTCAGGGCATGGTAGAGGTAGTATTTTAGGAAGTAGTTTTCGGGGAGGTTTGTTATGTTGCAGGTTTGGATTGAGGGGAGGAGGTCGATGTAGGAAGGGTAGCTGCTTAGGGGGACGATGTCGACCATTTTGGCGGTTTGGGGCGTTGGTTGTTGTGAGGGGGGACGTTTTGGTGGAGTTGGCGGTGCGGTGGGGAGGTCATGTGATATCGGGGGATGGAATGGGAGGTAGGGTTGGATTGGATATTTCATTGATTTGGATAGGAGATGAGGTTTTGTTTGGATAGGAGACGAGGTTTTCGTTTAGAAGTATTTTATTCTTATTTTGTTCGAGTTTTAGCGAACATCTACCGTCTACTTGTTGACTATGCTGTTTATGTATGTAGGTAAGTACTATATCAAAATCATATCCAGTACAATGCGATATGTACGGTAGGAAGAAAGAAAAGAAAAAAAAAACCTAGCGCCGACGACCGGATCGGTCATGCACCCAAAATATAATCATGGATATCGTGGAAATCAAAACGCAGACATCATCATCTGCACTCCCACTGCCACCAGAAGCACCGTCGACATACCGGCGAGAGAAACCTCGCGCAGAGCACCAGACGTCTTGCCACAGCATTTACCGTTGTAAGTGACATTGTTCATCTCGGCAGCGACCTCGAAGACCGAGCCGTTGAAATTGCCATAGTTGTAGTAATCAACCAGAAGGAAGTTAGGAGGACGACCCCAGGTTTCTGTTCCGAGTTAGCAACGCAAACATAAAATGAGATACATCTAAAACTTACTGTTACATTCCTTGGCCATCTCGCCGAGACTACCACTGCCGTTGACCGCATTGGTCTCACTAATCTCCGCAGTATTGGGAATCAACATGCTCAGAGACCCGAGATTCAACTGCAAGTTCAGATTGTGGTTGGCCATGTACATGCGGTTCTTGGCAGCTGCCTTGGACAGACCCGGTGGGCGTTGCTGTGTACAAGGGAATTTGGGGTCGGTGGGTGAGAAGGGTGTCTCCCAGACCTGCGAGAACTGATCCATCAGCCACGGGTACGCGGTCTGATTGGCTTCGTAGTCCATGAAGAAGACTGCGCGCTTCTGCTTGAGGATCATCTCCGAGAGCGTGGGCCAGTCATTTAGAGCCATTGGGATCTTGGTGGGGGTATAGATGAGGTCCTTTAGGCCGGAGTTGTAGATCGGGGCAGTGAAGTTATCGGGCTTGACGTAGTCGAAGTTGCCGATGATGAAGGTCACCACGTCGTAGGGATTCTTTCGCATCCACTTGTTGACGTCCGTCAGGTATGCTTCGAGGGTGCCGACGCCGAGTAATTGGCAGCTTGTATGGCATAGGTACATTGTGCCGTTTTCGTAGTGAGTTTGGAATTGCACTAATACAAAGGTTAGCAATTGCTTATTTTTGAATAGTTAGTGCAGCACTGCTCTACTTACGCGTGCGAATTCCATCATTCAATTGTGCTGTTACATCCAGCACCTGGTTGGCGGCGACGTTGTTCTTGCGCACGAACGGGCTGTTGTGCGCTGCGACCATGGTAATGTTGGAATATTTTCTGACACAGAACTCGGGGTAACTGTTGCAGGGCTGGGTATTGACGATAGGAGTCTTCGTAGCTGTCCCAGTCGTAGTCGCAGTCGCGTTCATGCTATTATTCCCGATCACCGTCGTTCCTCCACCGCCCACCAGTAAAGTCAAAGAGTCGGAAGTTGTGGTGATTGCGGTCTGGTTGGAGGCAGTCATTGTACCATTGTGATGGGTGGTCGATGCAACGACCGACTTCTCGCCATCACTCAATGTGATTGTTGTGCTGGGGTCTTGGTAGCTACCCGAGGGTAGGGCCACGGGGGTTGTGACAGACACAACCGTAGGTCCATCGGTGGTCTTACCGGACTCGGAGGATTCAGTAGTTGATTCCTCGGCCACGGCAATGGCGAGTAAGGCGAAAAGAATTGTAGGCCACCTCATCGTGCTGTGTATGGGTATAAACCCAAGATAGGAGGAAATTCCGGGGAGCCCTATGGACAGGGCTGGTGAACTTACCTAAGCGGCTAAGTTTTCCAAGGTTAGTGACGTTGAGGACCAATCAAGGATGATGATCAACCAATTAGATCTTTATATCATTTTAGGGGGCGAAGTGGGATGTGGGCTGAGAGATCTCCCCTTTAGCTCTCTGTGAGATTGCTGCCTGATATAATTTAGCTACTTATAGTTTCATTGTCTCACAATAAGCACACTTATTATTCTATTATTCTACCTAATCTACTCAGCCATATATTCATTTTACATTTCACCTCTAATACCCTCATACTATTTCTATAAGATAAGCGTGAAGGATCATCCATGCAGACCAGGGGCCACTAGTGTTCAGCCACTGACGATCTTACGGGAGACGCGACGATCTGATAGAAATTTCTTAATTTTGAATCCAAACCCATTTTAATAGAATAAAAAACAAGGTAAAAACAAAACTCGTATTTGTCCCGAAGGGTTGATCGAGATATTTCATCCAACGTCATCCCAGGACTAAACCCTAATTCTGCTCTCTTTTTTTCTTTTGGACTTTAGAACTTCTCCTTTTTCCCCTTATTGACATATTCCTATCATGCATGGGACAGTCAATGGCAAGCGAAAGCTTCCCTTCTTCAAGTCCACTACTCCAATCGACCGTCAGCGCAAGTCAAATGTTCACCGGCATCGTCTATTACGGTCGCTGTTGTACTTGATCGCTTGGATCTTTTTAGTGCTGGTAGTCACTGGCAACCTCTCTAATAAACCAGTCCTACGCAGTACCTATTTCCTCTACCTCGATCTTTCAAATATTATCCCAGTCTCCATTCCAAATGCCGTCCTTATCAACTCCATCGCCCAAACAATCGGTCTCCACGACTTCTATCAGGTCGGCCTATGGAACTTTTGCGAAGGATACAATGGACAGGGCATCACCCACTGCTCCAAGCCAGAGACTCTCTTTGCCTTCAACCCAGTTGATATCATCCTGAACGAGTTGCTGTCCGGTGCGACAAGTACGTTATACCAATATCCCCGAACCCAAACCCCTGGACTAACACCCCCACAGTCGCCCTCCCAGCCGATATCCAAAGCCCATTAAAACTAGCACGCGTCGCCTCCCACTGGATGTTCGGACTCCTCCTCTCCGCAGCAGTCCTCAACTTCGTCATGATCTTCGTCGCCCCGCTCGCCGTGTCCTCACGACACCCACGAAGCATTAAATCCTGGGCCGCAGGATATAACGGCACCCACCCGCCCGGGGGGAATCCACCCCACCGCCGACGGACCTTTTTCTGGCTACGCGCCCTGCCGATGCTGATCCTGACATTTTTCGCCGCGCTGACGACAATCGTCGGGTCGGCCGTCGCGACGGTTATGTTCGTGATTTTCGCCAATGTCTTCGAAAACGCAGACCCGAGTATCAACATCCAGGCGCACGTCGGCACACAGATGCTGGTATTTATGTGGATTGCTTCGGCCTTTAGTCTGCTCGCATTCATTATTCAGATCGGCTCTTGCTGCGCGGCTTGTTGTCGTGGCCGTAAGGCTCGCAAGCAGCTCAAATCGCAGGGTATTAATTGGCATGAGAAGAGTGCGGTTAACCCCGATGCGACCGAGCATCGCGGCGTCTCGTCTTGCAGGGATTCTGGTGTCCCTGCGGAAGAGCGTCGTCTCACTTCTGGTGGTCAGGCGTTCTCGAATGAGCAAGAGCAGAAGCTGGGTAATGGACATGCTATGAACCATCAATACTCGGACTCTTCGACTGAACCACATGCAATCTCGAAATGATCTCGAGTTTTCCTTTTTGGTCATATTCCTCTACGGATTCATTTTCCTTTCTAGCATTTTTCATATTTGTGGGATTCTCGATATCCCTGTGCTATAGTGTTCCCATTTTTGAACATTTACCCATATTTTATCTACCATTATCTACTTAGGTATGATTTCACGATTTGATAAAGAAATAGAGGCTCGGCATTCTTACATATCAAAACTTGTTTTTCAGCGTGAATCTTGGTTGAATATAAATTCTGCTCCACATATATTTTTCAACATCATTTGGGCCCTTTTCCCCCGCATGAAAGTTGTCGTAAGCTCCAAAATCTTTTGCCACAATTCCACTGTTCCTTTGGGCTGTAATTCGTTAATTCTCACAGATTCCACTATAACCAAATCATACCTAGTAAGGGCCCATAGCTCCACTCTACCCTGTTCCTTGATATCACATCTTATCACAAAGATCAGCCTTAAGGGCGTACTCCGTACAACGAACTCCTTCGTATTCGCAACTCCACCCTACCTCCACCCATACCCTAGCAACCAAGGATAACCCCAAACCCTGAAAGGGTCGAGCGCCCAGATCGAGTAATAGATTGTAGAGTCCACCACACCAAAAGGGGATAAACTCTCTTCACCCCGGTCCTTATTAGGCCGAATCTCAGTCGTATGTAGAATATATACCCTGGATAACTCTGGATAGCCTAAATCTCCATACATAGTGTACAACTATAAACCTCCCAGTACTCCGTACCTCCACCATATCCCCAACTCAAAATGCCAAAGTCCACAAAAAAAAGACCCCCCACTTGTGTTATTTCCCTTCGATTTCTGCCGTCCACGCAACCTAATAGAGCCATCTAGAATCTATGAAAATCCATAAAGGGAACCTCTGCCCGGTTCCGTGGTTGAGCTCCCATCGGATCTACCCTTCTGATATCATACATTTCTACTTTTACATCCCTTAATACCCCAACTACCATCTACTATAAACATCCCTTTATTATCAAACAACTGAAACCTAAGATCCACTCCCATCCCCAACCATCTAAACCCGAATGTCCGACTTCAGCCTAACGGCCAAGGTAGCCCTAGTTACCGGAGCCGGTCGCGGCCTAGGTCTAACTCTAACAGAAGCTCTGTTAGAAGCGGGGGCCAAAGTGTACGCTCTAGACTACCTAAAGGAGCCGGTATGTGTGTCACACCTGTGATACAATGATAACCTCCTAGAAAGAAAATAACCCCCCGAATAACTCATTAAAAGACACCGGAGTTCACACAAGTCCAGCTGTGTGCCAAGACATTGGGTACAGAGCTGCAGTACCGCTGTGTCGACGTGCGTGACACAGAATTTCTCAATTCTGTCATTGAGGATATCGCCAATCACGAGGGTCGTTTAGATGGTCTCGTTGCTGCTGCTGCTATCCAGCAGGAGACGTCCGCTTTGGACTACTCTGCTAATGATAGTAATGATTTGCTCGAAGTTAATGTGACTGGTGTGTTTATGACCGCTCAGGCGGTGGCGAGGCAGATGATTCGGTTTGGGAATGGGGGTAGTATCGCTTTAGTTGCTAGTATGAGCGGTACTGTTGTTAATAGGGTATGTTCTTTTAACCTCCGTCCGGCTTTCTCATCGAGCTTTGATGTTGTCTGCCTTATATCATTAACCCAATTACACTCATGGATCCATCAACACTAACCAGATCCAAACAGGGATTAATCTGCCCAGTCTACAACGCAAGCAAAGCAGCCGTCATACAACTAGCCCGCAACCTCGCCGCCGAGTGGGGCCAGTATAACATTCGCGTCAACACCCTCTCCCCCGGCTACACTCTCACCTCTATGCTTGAGATGCTGTTTGTCCAGTACCCAGAGCGCCGCGAGCTGTTTGCTAAAGAGAATATGTTAGGCCGTCTATCCCATCCAAGGGAATACCGCGGTGCGACTGTGTTCTTGCTTTCTAATGCTAGTAGCTTCATGACTGGTAGTGACCTCCGCATAGATGGTGGTCATGCTGCGTGGTGAATAATTTCTGTTGAGACAAGGCGCTGGTCACTTATTGAGCATTCTGGTATAGTAGTTTCTCTTTGGCGTTGATGGGTTTGTTAGTCACTCTATTGACGGTGCTTGCGTTTTTACCTCTTCTCGTTTACAAGCTATATTTATCCACGCCTTCGGTAAAAATGTGGTTTCACAAACGTTGAAAAACCGCTGGAGGTCCATTATGTCTATTGACTTTGAATTGACTTTGATTCACCATACCACAGGTCGTGGGAGCATAACTCTCATTCCTACGTTCCTAATGTATCTCAGCCAGCAATGTCTATTTCCCCACTTCCTTCAAGTATCGATATAACCCCACAAAAGACTCAAGCCATTCTTTCTCCATCTCACTATGGGGATCCCATTTATAGGGAACTGGGCGTCGGAAACTGCGGGCACTGTCCGTTTTGAAGGGGGTGAAGAAGGAGCCATCGATGGAAATCGGAGTTTTCACTTGTTCGGACCACAGTGTATTTCCTGTTCGGAGAATCTCCCCTTTCTCATTCACAGTTGGCCTTTGCTTCATTTGGGATAGTTCTTCTGTCTCAAGAGGTGACAAGTAAAAACGAGGCATCCCGCAGATGACGACGTGGACCAACTTCGTCACCAAAGAGGGAAGACTATCTGTGACGACTCGATTGCCCATAATTATACCCTGACTTTGCATAAAATACAGCATCTCGTTCAATGCAGAGTCAAATGGAATAACTGGAACGAACACAACCGAAAAGTGCTCAGAAGAGACGAACTTTTCTTTTGGAGACCGCACAATCTTTGCTGCATTACGTCTCATCCGTGACACAATGTGTGCCGTGTTCGGTCGTATCTCTTGTCCTGGGTCCAAAGTACGTTTAAGGATATCTGGATTTGCCTCTAAGATATCGGCAGCCCAACGGAGCTCCTCGGCCATTTGTTTGAAAGGGGTAACCTTGGCAGTTTGTATATCGTCCCAGTGTTTTTTCATTTCCTCGAAAGAGTATCCATTTTGCGGCGGACGCCAATTCGCGAATGAGATGTTTTTGGATGCACCGAATCGAGTGAGATCGATTTTTCGCCAGTGTTCTCTGATCTCATAATGGAGGCGTGAATGCATGGTGTCCAAGATTTGATCTGTTTTCCAATCTTTTTCGCAGTGGATGTTAAAACCCAAGAGGCAGCCGGGATACGGCAAAAGCTTTTTGCCCAGTTTTGAGAAGAAGTCTATATAGAATATAGTGGCGAACCTGGTCCTCGAAATGGTCTCATGGTCGGACCCAATAATGGTGCGACAGATAGGATGCGAAATGATGCATTCGTCTACCCGGTCATTCTGATAGCAGAGCAGTTTTAGAACGTCCCATACTCGTAGATCGTCGATTATCTGATGGGCGAGTTCGGTGGGTATTGCCTCGAAACTGAGGACGATGGAACTCAAGGTTGATTTATTCATTTTGATATTTGAAGATACAAATGTGGGAAATGAACTAGAAGAGGGAAAAGTACTAAGCTGTTAGCGCAATTCGTGACTCATTGGGGCTGGCCCTATATTTCTCACGGCCCCAAATCTGCTCAAATACTAGGGAAATAACTCTATGAAACATCTAAAATGAAGGAAAACTTGGATCTACAGGCTGAAGTGATCGCAATCCAGCTTCGAAAAGATCAACAATTATGCAAAGAGAAAAGGATACCTACTACGCTGGCTTTGCAATTATCATCTGCATCGAGTTCTCTCCTAGATGAGATAGCCTGGCATCTCACCCCTCACCACGAAGTATCGAAAGCCCTGCGATCCATGAGATGCAACAGCATCATCAAGGGCATACAGACATACTTGAGCAATCTCGATAAAATGGCAGGCGATGAACCGAGCAAAGATGCCATCCACGCACCCACAAAGAACGAGCTGGAAACGACCATGAAAGTGTTGGATTACCTCCAGAAACACAACTTGGTATCGCAGACATCGACAGATCCTCTCTCGGATGTAATACGCACTGTCCAAGCAGAACTCTCAGTGGACAGCACTGTTCGCTCAGCGCAACACAAAATATTTCAAAAAGACCAAAGTCCCAAAAACACACAAACCAAACAAAGATGCTACATCTGTCGCTATCTTTTCCAGCCCGCTGACGCCCATGAGCTGTACCCTTCATTGTGTCGCCAATGCGGCATGTTCAACACAGGCTGCTCGCAGCTATCGCTACCCGAAAAGCTGAACCTCACCGGCAAAACCGCCCTCGTTACAGGAGGCAGAATCAACCTCGGCTACTCTACTGCCCTGAGACTTCTACGCTGCGGGGCCAAAGTAATCATCTCTTCTCGGTATCCAGCTGACGCAGCCGCACGATACGCGGACGAGGGTGATTTCTCGCAGTGGAGTCCAAGATTAAAGGTCATCGGTGCGGACTTCAGAACCGCAACTGATGCTTTCCGTCTTGTGCATATTGTCAAGGCATTGCTATCCGATTGGGAGGGCGAGGGCGTATCTACCACGCGGCAATATCTGGACATTCTCATCAATAACGCCGCACAGACCTTGACAGATCCCATCAAAGCAGAGATCAAAGCAATTTCCAGAGAGGAAGATTTAAAAGAAAGGCCCGAGACCAAGCTTTTGCTTGCCGGCGTGGCCAATCGATACCAACCACAGGTCCGCGGCGGACTCCAAGCATCTTGGATACCCAGTATCGAGGGACAGAACCAGCTCCAGATCGAAAACGGAAGTACAGAGAATGGTCTATCCAGAGATCATGTACCCCAAAAGGGCCTCCGAACTACCGAACAAGACCCCTCAAAGTCATCCTGGGTTCAAAGTCTAAACGAGATACCCTATGAAGACTTGATAAGCGCACACTCAGTGAACGCCTTCGTCCCATTGATTCTATGCCGCGAACTCCTCTGTCACATGGGCACCGAGAACCCAAGCTCGATTCTCAAACCGCAGGGATATATCGTGAACGTCTCATCCCGAGAAGGAATTCTCGAAGACGTGCCTCGTTCACGTAGTAAGGGTGGTCACCATGTCCATACGAATATGTCCAAGGCTGCTATCAATATGATTACGGAGACAGAGGCACATTCTGCGTGGAAGACGCGGCGGGTTGCTATGAATTCTGTGGACCCGGGGTATATGAGTGCCGCGCCGGAGTGTCAGCGTGAGGACGGATGTCCTATTAGGTTCGAAGATGGTGCTGCGAGGGTACTTTGGCCTATTGCTGTTGGTGAGATCGAGGGACGGGTTATAAGTGGCAGGTTTATGAAGCACTTTCAAGAAGGTGTTGCACTTACGCATAGGGGATAAGTAGGGTTCTAGAGTTGAGAGATAGAAAGACTGTTTTAACTATATATTTTTTGAGCCTGTAACGTTTATTTTCCTCGCTTCTGCTTGTAGATGGCCCTGTGTGGATCAGACTCCTACCTCGGCCCTTTGTAATATTATCATTCTTCTGTTGCTACGTTAGAAGTAGGATTAATATATCTAGGCATAAGAGAACGGAACTTAGCAGTGTACGTACTATGTGTGGTGTGTTATGAAATCGGTGTATAACGTGTTGATCACATCCATTGTCTGCCGCTTATATATCTCCAGATACCGTTGTGGTATGGTAACCCAATATATTGGATTGGAGAATCGTTCTAACATTGTCTTTCTACAACTACTAATTATTTGCCCTTCAATATGCATGCTGTGGATTACAGAGACCATAGATTGATTGATAGATACTCGACATCAGGAGAAGCAAAAGGGGCATTAAGGAAGATGCAATAACGTTTATTGTGCAACGAATGCCAAAGCACACCGAATCAGAATGAAATAATGAAATGATGGATTGAAGAGGAAAAAATCAAATTTCAAAGCTCAATTGTGGGTTCCGAAGTAAATAAACAAGACATGCACAAACCTGACCAAGAACATGCCCGCTATCCGAAGATGCGGTAGTTGGTATAGCTCAAGCCCAAAAGAAAAATAAAGGAAATCAAGGAAACAGGGTATCGATATGGAATAAGAATAAAGCAAGGTAAACCGAAATAAGCACACGAGCTCCAGAGAAAATCAAAGCAAGGTGAGAAAAGAAGAGAAGATAACTACTCGTACCGACATGAATGCATGCATTAATGACAACGCAGGAAAAATCAAAGAGAAATCAAAGAGAAATCAAAGAGAAATCAAAGAGAAATCAAAGAAGAAAAAAGAAGTCATAAGCCCGTTGTCTTTCACTCCTGGTACGCCGACAAGTCGGTCCCCGTACTAAGACGCCGTGTATGCAAAGGTCAACTCGAATGACCAAATTAGAAAGGCAGAAACGAGCCATTTAGCCCATCTCCATGCCGTACTCGTCCTCCTCCTTGAAGCTCATAGCAGCATGGCCAGCACTGTTCCAGTACTGCGGTTGGCCAGCGCCATTGGCACTGCTGGTGCCGCTGTGGAATGAAGGACTCAGGCTGGGAGGGGTCAGGCCGGACATGTCACCGCCCTGCACGGCGTCGCCGGCGATGTTGGTGTGCTTGGGAACGCACAGGCCGCTACCCGGTCCGCGGGTGTAGCTGAAGGAAGTTGGGTCATTCTTCTCCAGTGCATCGAGGATCTCGCTGCGCATGCGCTTCTCTTCTTCGGTTTGCTCGAAGGGCCAGGTTCCACCCAGGCTGCCGATCAGCTCGGCAAGCTCCGCTTCTTGTTGGTATTTGACGTGCAGGGCCCACATCAGATCGCGGGTCCAGCTGACGGCACCGTTGAGGATGTCGCCCTTGTTAGGACCCTTCTCCTTTTCTTCGATTGGGAGACCCATTGTGATGTTGCCCGGTGTCGCACGGCGGCCGTTGCCTCCGGCGAGAAGAGATGTGGCGGCACTTCCGCCTGCCCCGGCCATAGAAAGAGCGCTGCTATTCACAAGTTGCTTCCGGACCTTGTCGTCTTCCAGTCGGTGCTGAGGAACCAGGTGGGAGAGATCCTGAATACGTTCATTGATGTTGTCGCGTCGGCGGCGTTCGACCAGGTTGTGCGAGGCACGGCGACGTCGGCGCTTGGCTTCCTGGGATTCGAGATCGCCACCACCCCCAGGGAGATGGGTATCAACCTTGGCGGGCAGTGAGGCGTGCTTCCCAGATTTGAGGATCTCGGAGATGCCCGCATGGTGTGATTGGTGAGGAGGAGATGAGATGGGAGAGGACTCGACGTACGACTGCGCACTGCCAGGAGTTCCATCCCACTGGTTGGACAGTGTCTTCTGGTGACGAGCCTGTAGTCCGGTCCGGATAGGTTGAGACGGGAAGCTTCCAGATTCAGGGGTACCCAATGTCAAGGAACCCAGTGCCGGGGTCTTTGGAGTCATGGGACTGCGGCTGTCAGAGGAAGTACGGTCCATGCCGTGCAAGCTCTGGCGCTTAGTGCCGAGGTAGTTCTGGTCGAAAGAGCTGGCATTGTGCACGTGCGAATTCTGCTGGTTCATGCGGTATTGCTCATAGTTGAAGCTGTTCTGAACGAAGGGGCTGGCCATGGGAGCATTATCCGGGGTGTTGGAGTACATATGCGACATCTGACTTTGGTGACTCATCGCGATACCACCAGCAGACTGGTCCTGGAGATAGTTCACATTATCGCGCTGATGACCGTTCTGACCGCTAATCTCGAGATCCAACAACTCGTCTGTGTCGATACCGGAGTTTCCGAAGTTGAAGCTGGATGACATGTTCTGTTGCGAACCATAGGAGTAGGGCATGAAGCCATTCTGTTGCTGCATGGTCAAGTCGGATGGGTCGATCCCATCGGTGGGGAATTGGTTACCCATCGAGTAACCGGAGTGTGACATGATGAAAGGGGTGTAGTCGTCGGATTCGTGTTTGATGAATAGACTTGCTTCAGCCATAGGTGAAATAATATTCGTTTGAGATGGGCGCAAATCGGCGAGGGGGTTAAGGGAGGAGTTGTAGTGCCGATCCCACTCTTTCCGTGGCAGTCAAAGGTTACCGAAACGCGCGATGAAGAATAAGAGGTGTGAGAATGTCACGATCTGTGGGAAAAAAGATGTTAGTCAAGACTCGACCCCGCCCGGCGATTTGAAGATGTCGTGGCCTCCGTGCGCAAGGCAAAACCAGGCAACCCAATAAAATGGTAAAATAGATGAAAGGGAGAAAGGAATGTAAAATAATTACCCTTGAAACACTGAGGAGAGGAATGAAGTCGGGGAGATTGTGAGACGTGCCAATAAAGCCGGGGAAATTTCCTCGGTCTTTAAGCCGGGAGTAGTCGACAATCGGCAAAGAACTGTGCAGATCGCGACCACGAATGTGTAAGCCAATCGATAGGCGCAAGCGCAAGACCGAAAAGTTCTAAGAGGTGTGAGCGATGAAAGATAAAAGAGAAAAAAAAAGTGACCGAGGCACGAATGTGAATGAAAGATCAAGATAAGCTAAACAACCAGAGACGAGCAGGAAGAAAACCAAGCCCGAATCAGGCACTCAATCCCAGTTTCCCAGTTGATTCCTTGGTATTCGGTCTCAAGTATCGCAGTGTCGCAGTGTCGCAGTTATATCCTCAGATGCAAAACACAAAGTCCGGAGAAGAGTGGGGGAACAAGCGGTGGAAGGGCGGTGAGAAGTGGCGATCTGAAGGGGGTTTCTCCCTATATATTGTCTTCACCAGTTCACCTTCATCTTCTCATATTGGTCATATTATTGAAGTTGGTCCCGTTTCTGACGCCTTGACCTCTGTTTGCTTGGGGTTTGCTCGGGGTTTGACCACGCTCGGATTGCAATCGGGATACGAGTTGACGCAAGCGCTTACTCAATAAAAGAACATGGGCTTGGGTTTGGGCTTGGGTTTGAAGATGAAATATTGGAACTTACCAAGTGAAGAAGTGTATATGAAGATGGTGTAAGAAGTTGGCATGAGTATATCTTATATGAAGCATAAGTATACCTCGGAAGTATACCTCGGTATAGACCTATGTTGACGTTAACAAAAAGATCCTACAGTAAGCATGCAGGTCAAGACATATACATGTCATCAGCAGAGCCCCATTCACACGTGGGGACCTTGCAACATAAGATCACAGATGCAGGAACAAAGGGAATATGCGATATATGAATAGAAGACTAGACACGTACCTTGATCTGTATACCGGGTACAAAGTCTGATATTGAAAGTCTTTACCAAGAGTTCGAGAACACAAGTATGCAAGAGGAACAGAAAGCACTTGCAGGTTTCGCAGACACCGAGGGGATGGAGACTTTATGAACTGAAGCGGCGCTCTCCTGCATCTCTCATTTGATATATTACAACACCGGTCATGCAGCCCGTCGATCGGTGAAAATCGATGAGATTCACCTACGCCATCGGACAGATATTTATTTTTATTTATTAAGTTGACTACTACCATCGGGATCAGAAGGGGAAAAGGGTGTGTGTAAATGTGAGTGGGTTTTTTTCTTTGGGTGGGTGGCAATGGTAAACCCCGAGCCTCTTTTTCTTACAATACATAGATAAATAAAAAAAAAAAAAATACTAAAGAAAATAGAAAGATAATCATATTCATCCCAAAATAAAAAAACAAACTTGGACAAAGGGGGGAAGGGTGATACAGCCGGATCGAGTAAAACGGCCATCCCATGATACCCGTTGGGATATTTGTCACCTGTTACTATCATGACTCACGGGTGTCTTGAAAAGATCAAGAATGTATCAGATGAGGTCTTGAGGTTACAAGCATACCGAAACCTATCTGAAAACCCTATATTGTTCAGAGTGGAAGTTTGGACATATTCAAGATCCATGAGACCATGTGGACATAGTTCCATAGATAGTTGATCTCCAACTATGCAGAGTACTACACCCACCGGAGATGGTAGAGATCGACTAGCGTGTGAGAATGATTTCGAGTCGCAGATATCATCCGGAGAACATAACATACATAACCCCATTACCTTGGCAATACCAGTAGAGAAGGTTAGACAAGATCTGTATATGTGATGGAAGTAAATCAGAAAATAGAAAAGAAAAAGAAAGTAGCTCACAGACCACATTCATAAGCACTATCAACTCTGCACGAGGATCTGTGCGCTCTGTTCTTCATGTGGGATGTCGTGCAGAGGAGACTAGAGCGACGATCATATCTTGCTATGATCGTCAACGGAGCTTGGACCTTCATATTGGTCGGCTCCGACTGTACACTCTAGAGTCTGTTTGGTCTTTTTGTACGTAGGGGGCGGACTTGTTATTGATCTGGGTTACAGCGGCAAAGGAAATAATGTTATAGTTTAATATTTGGAATCCTCTAGAATGTTGTAGTGACTTTGGATTTCAGACATAAATCATTCATTTGGTCTTCTAGACCAAAAGTAGAATAGAATGTGGCGGAGAGAGACAACTGGAAGGGCTGGAATGTATCTTAACATCCCTCCAATAGTGAATCAAAGCCATACACCTCACTTGTATACTAAGCCACATCGCCAAAGTTTCCTCGCTTTCTGCGCCACTCCGGTTTAGGGATGGTATTCTGAGATCGACGGATGAGGACTGATCTCCGAGATTCATGAGGGGAAATAATGGATCTCACGTCCCGTCCCGTCAAGGTTTGGCGATACACGCCCATGGTTGATGCAAGGGAGAAGTTGTATTTCATCTTTGATATCCACACGTTGAGACTATATCTTGAACTGCGCACAGGGCCCTGATATGACGACATCGTACGTGGTTAAGGTCGTACCCCATTCCGGGGGTCACGGATAAACGGACTTATGTACGCCGGGCATTCTATAGAGTAACAATACAAAAGCAGTCAAGCAAGAAAAACAGGGAACTAGAAAAAAGCAAAAGTAGAAACCAAAGAGAAACAATGAGGTTACCGATGTTACCCACCAGAGTCCGGAGTGCATATTAGCGTCCTTATGGTTGTCGGATAATTCCCCAAGGTAGTACACGGGTAGCTACATAAATACAGGCAACAGGGCAAAAGGTTATATAATGGGTATGCAACATCATCTGGAGTTCTTCCGATACGACTGCCGGCAATTATAGCCGTTATAGCCGTTGTAAATGTTTCTTCAGGATCCAATACAAGTACTTCGCTACTTTACTGTTACAGTTACGGCCGATCGCCACAGGGTGCGCATCAGCCAAAGATCGACAGTGGGACGGCAACTAATGATTAAAAGTTGCAGAAACAGAGGGCATCCATAATGGTCATGAGTCCAGATCGAGCATAATAAAGAATAGACTATATTGTAAATTAATATAGATACATAAGTCATATGCTCCACTTAAAGTATGTCGATTTGATTCATTAATAGAATGATCACCAGTTTTCAAACCTATAGAAGAGTATAAATCTGCATGTCTTCAAGGGTTTGACAAATTCTAGCGGGTAAAGCGCAAAAGAAAAAAAAAAGTATGGACAAAATGAATTACGTACCTATAATGTTATCGTATAATAATATAATAATACCAGATAATATATGAAAATAGTAACCAAAATAATAGACTGAAGTTGCTTATAGGTGGGTTATATACTTGCTATTGGCGCTATACCCCATTAGGCACTAGCCCCCTTTCCCCAACTTCAATGTTCATTGCAACAGCTAAGAACGGCCAATACTATACCTATTTACAAGCCACCTAGGCAACACTTCGCCCTGGTAAGTAACATGTATTCCATTCATTCCAGCTATCTTCCTATGGGGGGATAATCCTGGTCAATAACCCCACAGGGCTCGGTCCGAGAGCTTTGTACCCCAACACTGGGAAACCCATCATCTGACAGCTTCAGCACTTAACGCCGATCGGGTTGGTCGCATCGGTAGCTCCACGCCATCTCGTCATTTTGCTTGGTTCCCCTCGTCTTCCTACCCTCCTTTATCGATAGCGCAGCGCTTCCTTGTCCAATCACCTCCCCGTCGACTCCACACGCCGTGTTCACTTCCCATCCCCTTCTCGGATCGTGCAAGGTTCAACGCTTCCCACCTATCTTCCGCTTGGTTGGTCTATCTCGCCGCGTTATTGCGAGACGTGCCCCGATTACAATCTACCTGCGCCGCGCCGGAGGACATCTAAGCCACCCCCGGTAGTCATCCCCGACTCCGCAGAGCTGCAGATCCCGTTGAGTGCCGCCTTATCACAGTGCAGTAGGCTGCCCTTTTCTTGTGGAGGTTGTCCATAAGCCTTTTTATCAGCCTGCCGTATTCAAGACTTTTGATCTTTTGATCTTGACCTCATACCTTCGAGTCGGAGAACTTCCTTCGAAATTGGTCCCCCATTCCAAACGAGTCACGGCGTGCCCAGCTCATCGGAAGCCGAATCCGCTTTCGACACAGTCGTCATCTGCTCCTCTGTTGGCTTGACTTAGTCTCCGCTTCTAGCCAATCCTCGAGGATCATCCACCACCCGGCGCAGATCATCTGCACCCCATCTCGCATAGTCCCTGCAGTGCTCTCTTTGTCTTGACTTCCTAAACCACGGACCTTCTCTGCAGACGCAGGAGTGCACGTCCCTCTATTCGTTGCATTTGACATCTAAAACTTGACTAAAACTAGTCTCAAACATGGCGAATAACTCGTTCCGAGACTCTGTCAACTCACTAGGGTGGTCGCGTAGAGATCCGGATCTCCCCGTGCGCACTGGCGCGTCATCCAACACTCCATTCTTATCTCGTCTACAATCTTATAATCCGTTCGGAGATGGCGGCTATGTTCAACTGCCCACTCACAATGACGGCCCTGGTGCCCCATTACCGGCAGCCACTCGTCGGGAAGAAGAAGAGGGCTTCTTTGCTTGTAAGTTTTTTTTCCTCTGTCGTGTGACCCTCCAATCCCCAGATCCTCCCATACACGATTGCGTAAAATCCAGGTGATGAGACTGCAGTTCCTGCGCCGGGAGGATTCATCGTCACCATGCTTGTTTTATGTGGTTGCGAGCCGATAGAAGAAAATAAAAAAAACACACTAACACAGACTTCGTATAGTGAGTCGGTGGGACCGCATGCTGATCTTTGGGGCATGTAACTTGGGCGCCGCCGTCTGTTTCATGCTCTGCTTCTTCTTGTTCCCTGTATTGACACTGAAGCCCCGCAAATTCGCCATCTTGTAAGTTGCCTCCGCGATGGTCCGCAATAATGTGGCTATCGTCCCCGGCCTTCCGCGGCCTTCCTAGTCCTCTTTCCTTTTCCCCCGGCTATCCCACTCACCTGGACGGCCAAGCAAATTCCGAGCTGGGATAGACCAGGTCATCGGTCAATTTTGGTTAGGGCCATGTGCGCCTCTGTACTTTATACTGCAACCTGATTCGTCCTGACCCTCGACCTATATCTGCGCCTCATGCCAAGAACTTTCGTCTTTAGTCTTGGATATCTCTTGCTAACACGTTTCCTTAGATGGTCCGTCGGGTCGATGCTGTTTTTGATCTCATGGGCAGTTCTCATGGGACCGTGGACTTACGCTAAGCATTTGACCTCGGGATCACGGTTGCCATTCACAGCGGCCTATTTCGGATCGATCGCCCTGACGCTCTACTTCGCCATCGGGGTAAGTAAAAAAAATTTCTTTATCTTTATCTTTCTGTTTCTCGTTTTCGTTTTCGTTGTGGATTTTATCTTCGGTATTTGCGCTTTACCTCGTTGCATGCCGACGATCCCTCCCCTTCTCATGATACTCCCCTCTACACTTCCTTGTTTGTTGCACACTCGATTACCCTCCCTCTACCCAAGTCCGTATGGTCGCACTGCACAACCGGGAAAAGGGAATCTTGCAGCCTTCACATCCATCGCGCAGTACAACCTGAAACCACGGCTTGTCATGTCTGCTGTTGGCCGCAGCCAGTTTAACTCCTTCCAATTCATCCCACCCTGCACTCGGCCGGCCTCTCTGCTCTCCATCTTGCGTCTGTACCACGTCTCACCAAGGCGCGGGACTTGGACGTCCTTTCCCTTCACCTTGTCCGACACATCCCGGTGTCACAACTAGCGGAGTCCAGAGCCATCGAGATCAATCTATGTCTCACCGTCCCTGACTACTCGGTCATCTTGTTCTACCTGCATATCACAACTACACACCATCCACTTGCCACATTCAGCAACACATCCTCTTCTAGAAACCCTTGCTAACTTCTCTACTGCGGTGCGCTCTAGCTTCAAAACCTCCTCCTCACTCTCATCTCCTCCATCTTCCAGCTCGCTGCCCTTGTCTGGTACCTCGTCAGTTATTTCCCCATGGGCAGTACCGGCCTGCAATACGTGGGTCGTTTCGGAGCATCGCGTGTTACCTCCTGGATA